CTTTCGCATTTTTTTCGAGTGTGTGCCACGAGTGTCTGACTATACGCCGCTATATCCTATATAGTTCGAGCATATATATCTCTACATCTATGTATATATAGTTGGGAGGTCCTTTTAGACAAAGGAGCGTGCAAGCGGGACAGCAGACCGAGAGAAGGAAAGGCAGAAGCGAGAGCCAGCTAGCGAGTCGACGCGAAAGTTTTTTTTTGTGCAATCAATATATACATCAACATCTATATAATATAGTACCCGGACCCCTTCCTCCGCTGTATGACAGTGCCACTTCTTGACCGATTCTTCGATTCCGTATCCGCATCCATAGCCGTAGCCGTATCCTTCGCACGTAAGTCGTAATGCCATGATCTAATCGGTCTTATCACGCCGTCTCCCCCAAGTACATGTATTTATTTTCACTTGGACAAGCCAAGGGGAAAGCGCCTGGCGAAAATAAATCGATAAATAATAGCGGGGGGGTAACGCCATTGAAAATTTCCATGACATCTTCTATTTGTTTTTCCTTTCGCTGGCAATTACAAGGACTTTGCCACAAGCTTGATGAGGAGTGGAATAGTATTGGGAATAGGCTTTGCTGGGGGATTAATTATTTCAAAATTCTAGATGGAGAAATAACTTATTTAAAAATTGCAAAACAAATATTTATTTAACTTTTATGATAAATGAGATATTTTAAAAACTAGATTTAGTTCCTAGAGTCACACAAAAAGCTGTTTTTAAATTTGTAATCAAGTTTTGTAAAAATTAAATCCTTTGCAATTTGGCTGTTAAAAAAATAATAGAAAATAAATAAAATAAAATAATAAATAAAATAAAAATAATAAATAAAAATAATAAATAAATAAATAAATAAATAAATAAATAAATAAATAAATAAATAAATATACAATTAAATAGATAAATAAATAAATAAATAAACAATAATTCAAATAAATAAATAAACAATAATACAAATAAATAAATAAATAAATAATAAAATAATAATAAAATAATATAAAAATAATAAATAAATAATAAATACAATAAATAATAAAATGAATGCAATAAATTATACAAAAAATGCTTGCATTTGCCATATGTGCCGGGTAACCTGCTTGTATCCTGAGATGCACGCGTATCCTGACCCTCCTCAAGGCCCTCGACGACACACATTCGCAAATGAGGTCACAGATATCGGCGCAAAAGTGTCAATTACACATTTTTTTCTCGCTTCTCCTTTGCCGTCTTAGTCTTTTGACACACACAAACACACACGCAGGGGGTTAAGGGAGTGCCCTGGGGCTTCAGGGGGTTGCTGGTGCAATTAAAAGGATGTCCCTGCCGCAGATCCTGCAGCCTTGCGGGTGTGCAGCTCCCCTCTCTTTGCACATTCGCTGCAATTCCCTTTGTCCTGTGGCGCCCTTTGTGCCCAGCTTGCTCTTTCTCTTCAGCCAAAGTACACAGCGAGAAAATAAATAAAATTTCTTAACAAATAAAGTACAAAGTATTTGTATATTATTTATGAATATGTTGGTAAATCTGCATGTGTGTGAAAGAAAGAAGGCAGCAAGTGGTAAATTCTAGGAGAGATGTCTACTGGATGTCGTCGGCCAGCACTTTTTCGGCCTGCTCCTCGTCGACCTGCTCCTCCACGGTCTGTTCCTCATCGGCCTGCTCCTGTTCGGCCTGAACCTCCTGCACTTGCTCCTGCCTGTCCTCATAGCCTGCGCGCTGCCTTAAGGCCAAAATATGCTGGGCCCAGGGGCAGGAATTGGGTACCAGCTGGTCGGAGGACATGGCGTTGATGTTCTGCATCTTTGCTAAAAAATATATATATTAAGTACAACCCGAGATAAACGAAAACTTTCAGCGATTTTACGTCTGACAATGGAGAATATTTTAAAGAATATTTTTAGTTAAAAGTTGAAGCGTTATGTCTCAGAATTCGTACCGGAATGAAAATTTCTGTGAGAGATTCACCCAGATGACAAAAACAACGAGTTGAAGGGAAAGGCTTGGCCTACTTGATGAGTATTTCTTAGTAATTTTTATAAAATATAATTGAGTATTTATTTTCAAAATATGGTCAGACTTATGCTTTTTAAACTGCATGTATTTCTATACCCAATAAATGTATTTGTTAATACCTTCTTTCGTTAAGTGTATTTCCCTTTACGGCCCAGTATTGCACCTTTTCCTTCATCTGGGTTCAATGAACGCAGGAACAGCTGTTGTTGCTGTTGGTACCAGGACTAGGAACGCCTTTGACTTGCCACGATCCTTGCATAGACCACAAAAAGGCAAGCGCAGTGGGAAAATATGTTAGGGAAAACTGTGAAAAACCCCAAACAGGAACACAAAACACATACAGGGGAAACGGGCACACGGAGTAGAGTTCAATGACCGAAACGGGACAGGACATTATGGCAGGACCGGACGGTTTGTTTGTTTTTCGCGTCAGGTTTTTACCCTATTTTCAATGCAGTCCTTTTTTCACACACCAACACGCAGCACACAGATGCACGCGCCAGGATCTAGGAAGTCCTCTTTATGTACGTTTGCAACCCCTAAGCGAATGAAACTCCAATTGGAAATATTTCAAAGGGAGAGGCAAACCATGTAATTGTTACTTTTGTTAAGTCCAAGATTTGTAGTTTCAGTTTAAAAGAAATCTAAAATCACAGAAATTCTAAAATAGGCATTTCAAAGTTGAAAGAAAATCGAAAATATTTGTTTGCATTGCAGAAACTTCCCCTATCTTTGTTACTTTGACATAAGTTACCATTTGACACGTATTTTCCTTTATGTTTTGCTTAATGCGATTTGGTTTCGGCGATTTCCTTGCCAATTTCCAGCGATTCCATTGTTCACAGCAAACGATTCCGAGGAAGGGTGGGGCTAGGAAGCAGCACTAAATGTCGCTTATGTGGGGTTAGCATCCTTCGATTCATATCATATATCAGGCTATTACACATGGGATTTCGTATCGTGCAGAGATTTAATTAAATTCCAAGCCATTAGGCGAGAGCCAGAGAATATGTGTGTATTTTTTAAGGATAAGCAAAAAAATACAGCCGGTTCCCATTGTTGTTTGTTAAACAGATTTTCGGCATTGACTTACCCTTGTCTCTGTGTGTGGGTTAAAGGGGTGCTCCTGAAGGTGTCCTTTGTAGCAACTGTGGTGGTGGTGGTGACTGGCGTCGTCACTCCGGGGAGCAAAAGGCGCTTATCAGGCACTTTCCGTTTGGCGCTTATCAGGGTTTGTCCTTTAAAAGGTGACAGCACTAGAGATAGAGCAAGTTATCGATAGGGTATTACCTGGACGACTGAATTACTGAAATAATCGGCAAGATATCGCTATAGTTGGTCGATATTTTTGCAGTTTATATGGGAACAGGTCTTTCCAGTTGAAAATAACAGCTATTTATCAACGACATTTTCAGTAATTCAGTCTTCAAAGGGAATACTTGGATTGTATTTAAAAAAAAAAAACGAAACTTTTGTATAAATTAATCGATATACATATGTATTTTTAATCGATAAATGCTTTGCTTGAAATGTGACCAATTGAGGAGCATATACATTGCAAATATTTGTGTCTTGAGTAAAAATAAGAAAGAAAAAACTCATTTGAGTATAACAACATAAGAGATAGCAAGGGTTTCGTTATGTTCATATAATTTAGATAGGTTTCGATAACTTTTATTGGGAATAATCTATCAATTTTAGAGAAAACATAATTAAGTTTGTGCAAACTCTGATTTAAAATTAAATAAAAAATATTCCTCAATTATATAATATAATTTGTAAACCTATAATTTTCCCTCTTTTCCTTTTCAGATTGAGTGAAAACGAGCGAGCAATCGAACAGCCATCATTTATCAGAGAAAGATACGGATCATTGGAGCATACGAGGGAGATTTTTAAACTGCAGAGAAACAGAAGCAAACCGAAGACGAGGCAAAGAGAGAAGAAATAGTAAAGGAGTAGGAGAAGGAGAAGCAAACAAAAACCAAACACCACCAAATAAAACCAACTACTATTAATTTAAAGCAAACATTAACGAATAATCATATTCAAGCGGTATATATACAAGAGGTTAACGGATAACACAACTAACAATATATACATATGTATATGTATATGTATATGCGATATATGAATGTATATTTCAAAACCAAAGCTAAGTTCCAGTAAAAGAAGTAAAAACCAAAAACCAGCGCAAATGTAGTAAAAGTATAAACAAAAAGAAAAACAAATAACAAAAACCGAAGAAAAAATTATTGCTAACTTTTTGCATTTTTGCAATTTTATAAAAAACAAGGAAAACAAAAACGAAAACAGAAAAAAACCCAAAAACTACAACTATAAATCTCACAATAAAGATTTACTAAGAGGAAAACACTTAAACATTCCGAAAAGGCAAACAAAGAAACACCCATTTAGCAAAATTTACTCTTTTATCTAAAGAAAACAAAACCAAAAATAACATAAAATCAAAGAAAAACCCTAATTCAAGCATAAATTCAATTTTAAACGTTTTAGACCAGAGAAAACGCTCTAAACTTATAACTTAAAAAGCAAATACATTTTTTCGCGATCGTAGTGGATCTAAAACCCAAACAAAAAAAAAAAAAAAAAAAAAAAACAAAACAAAACACGAAAGGAATTCGCGACGGGACTTGTGCAAAGCAACTAGATTCTCATTTAAAACTTAAAAAAATAAATATATATATAACGAAAAGGAGCAGGTCCTTGTAACCAACCAACCGAGCAGTGAGATTAAATACTAAACACACAAAGAAAACCCAACCCAACCGACGCGACGGAGCTGTCAGGACCAGACCCAGAGCCAGGATCGGTACAGGAGCTGGAGCAGCAGCTAGACCAGGAGCTGGATCGGCAGCTGGAACTGGAGCTGGAGCAGGAACTGCAGCAGGAGCTGGCGCAGGACCAGGAGCAGGAGCAGGAGCTGGAGCAGGAGCAGCAGCTGGAGCAGCGAGAGCAGGACCAGGACCAGGACCAAGACCAGGACCAGGACCCGGAGCAGCAGCAGCAGCAGCAGCAAGAGCAGCAGCAGCAGGAGCAGGATCAGGACAAGATCAGGATGACCAACGCCATGGATATAGTGAAGAACGGCAGTGCCAACGGGTCCGTCGACGGCAGCAATGATGAGTCGCGCACCAATTTGATCGTCAACTATCTGCCGCAAACCATGACGCAGGAGGAGATGCGATCGCTCTTCTCCAGCATCGGTGAGCTGGAGAGTTGCAAACTGGTGCGTGATAAAGTCTCAGGTAATTTGGGTAAATATTGACCAATTTTATTCCTAATTACTACTTAATGCTATTTATTTTCTGTATTGTAAATTAGATAAATATTTCGAAATAAATTTGAAAGAATATATCGAAACAATGTTGCAATTTAATGCAAAAACAAATAAATCGATATCTGAATACCATGCGAAATCAATACTTTATTATTGAATATATTATTTCTATATATTTTTTATGTTACAGACTAGATAAATATATCTTTTTCTCATTTTGGCTTTTTCAAAAGAAATTTGAAAGAATATATCGAAACAGTGTTGCAATTTATGCAAAAACAAATAAATCGATATCTGAATACGATTAAAAATCAATACTTTATTATTGAATATAAATCTATATCTTCATTTTGGCTTTTTCGAAAGAAATTTGAAAGAATATATCGAAACAGTGTTGTTATTTCATGCAAAAACAGATAAATCGATATTTGAATATGCTGAAAAATTGATACTTTATTATTGAATATAAATATAAGAAGATTATCATTAATTAAGTATTAAATTTGATTGATAAAAAATAGAAAACTTTAATTTTTTAAAATGATTATTATAATTATGAATTTATTTTCTTATTTATTTATGATTTTATTTTTCCTTTTCCTATATTGCTTGCTTCTATAACTAATTCCCTGAATCTCTATTTTGTTTCTAATTTTGCAGTCTTACCAGCATCGCTGACGGCTCTCAATCCGGCCCTGCAGCAAGGTAAGAGCTAGCACAAAATTCATCCCCTGAATCGAGTAATTAATTACTAATAATTATACATATTATACATATACACACAGGCCAGAGCCTGGGCTATGGCTTTGTTAACTACGTGCGGGCCGAGGATGCTGAGAAGGCTGTGAACACCCTGAACGGTTTGCGTTTGCAGAATAAGGTTATTAAAGTATCATACGCCCGTCCAAGCTCAGAATCTATTAAGGGTGCTAATTTATATGTATCGGGTCTTCCGAAAAATCTATCACAACCAGACTTGGAGGGGATGTTTGCATCGTTCGGCAAAATTATAACATCTCGTATACTCTGTGATAATATTTCTGGTAAGCTTAAAATACTATATAATTAATTTATAGCATTTTTGAGTAATATTATTACATTTATTAGGTCTATCGAAGGGCGTCGGCTTTATCCGCTTCGATCAGCGCAACGAGGCCGAGCGGGCCATCCAGGAGCTGAATGGCAAGACACCCAAGGGTTATGCCGAGCCGATCACCGTCAAGTTCGCTAATAATCCCAGCAATAGCGCCAAGGCCCAGATAGCCCCGCCCCTTACCGCCTACTTGACTCCGCAGGCGGCGGCGGCCACCAGGAGACTGGCCGGAGCCCTACCATCCGCCGGTCGCATAAGGTTCGTTTATGTATATTTTTATGTTTATAAAACTAAGCTTAAGGGTAATAATATATATGTTAATGTCCGTCTGACAACGTCAAGCCTTACCTTAAATTCGAATAATAAATTTCAAATTATTTAAAAAGAAAGATTTTGGGTAGAGGCACCCAGGAAAGTATGCTATGGTTTTGACGAGCTAACACTTTCAATCCTTTGTCCGATTTTGTTTTCAATTACTCAGGGCTTGTCTTTGAATACGTTTCTTCACCTTTTGTTCTCTTAACATGTATAACAAGTGCTAATTTTACTAAAAGATACTCTATATATCTTCATCTTTATCTTTGATTCTGTTGGTATGTGTACGTATCCTTTGCCGTTCTGTTTTCGACTATTTTAATTGTATTTAATTGTATCCAAACCATATTTTGGTTCTCTTCTTTTTTGTTCTTCTTTATTGAAAAAAAAAAACGAAAAAAAACAAAACAACAACAAAAAAACACACATTTTGTCATCATTTTTAGCATTGGAAAGAGTCCCATGTTAGCGATTAACAAGGGCCTAAGAAGGTGAATTTTTCTTTAACTTTGATTATTTGACACGCTCCATATTCTTTGACAAAATATTATATATTCTATATATGCAAACTGTTGTTTTATTCATTTACCATATACTTGATTTGGCTGAATTCCGAAGAATATTTATATAGAATATATATAAGTGTCTATGGTTATATATACATATATCCCACATTTGTGTATAGTTCAATTTCTTAAATTAGTATTTCCAAACATTTGGCTTTTTGTTCATTTCGTTTGCATGTGAGAGTTGTGTATTTAGTATAATTTATTTAGTTATTTATTTTAAATATTTGATAGCAATAAGATTGCAAAAGAACTGCGTGGAAAGTCTTGGCAAATTTCAATTATTTTATATTTATTATCCCTAATTTCTTACAAATATTTTGTGGCTTGCCTTTGATCTGTTATAAACTGCAATTAAATAACGAATTAATTATGATTTCTAAACGAGAGAAAGGCATCTCTTTTTTCGGTGTACTAAGCATGTACCTCATAAATAAATAATAAATAAATAAAAACCCAGAGATAATCAAGCCTAGCATCTCTAGAATCGGTGTAAAAAAAAAAAGAAGGAGGGAACTGTACCTTACCTGAAAATGGGGAGAGAGTACCATGTTGATGTAAATGAAAAGATTGCCTGAAATGTGATTAACTAATTGTATTCCTTTCCCGATAGATACTCACCGCTGGCCGGGGATCTGCTGGCCAACTCGATCCTGCCCGGAAACGCCATGACCGGATCCGGATGGTGCATATTCGTTTACAACCTGGCACCGGAAACCGAGGAGAATGTGCTGTGGCAGCTATTCGGCCCCTTTGGAGCCGTTCAGTCGGTGAAGGTGATCCGCGATCTGCAGACCAGCAAGTGCAAGGGATTCGGCTTTGTGACCATGACCAACTACGACGAGGCCGTGGTGGCCATCCAGTCCCTCAACGGCTACACCCTGGGCAACCGAGTGCTCCAGGTCAGCTTTAAGACTAACAAGACCAAGACCACTTAGGCACCACCGCCATCCGGGAGGATGGTCCAGCGACCTCTACAATACTCCATGATCTGTATGATTTGATGACACTAGTCTAGACACTATATAGTTCTACTACCGACGATACGGGACGAGACGAGACGATTACGAGATTGATTTGCTAAACGCGTTGTAGTCAAAATTGCACATTAATTAACGACGATTGGGGAGTTAGCGGGAGTTGGATTTCTGGCAGGGATATTTCGAAACGCGTGAATGGCGGCCTAAAAGTATGCACTGGCTCATTCACTCGATTGGTGATTGGTAAAAGCTCGCGACAAGCGAAATTGTTGCATACTTTTAGGCTGCTACTGAAACGATTCGAATGCCCATCCAGATTTGTGTGCGCTAAACGAAATTATTATGATTGTAATTCTAACGAAATCTTAGTGAAAATTGATTTATGTTTCTCTATACAATTTAATTTTATTAACTAAAAACCTAAACCAAAACAAAGCTTAAATGAGGCAACCAGAAAACACACACAACTGCAACTAATGGCAAATTTAGAAAAAAGAACAAACAAAGAAACAAGACAACTGTCTATAAATTGACAAAATGAAATGAATATGAAAACTAAAAACAAAACAAAAAACGAAAAACGAATGAATTAAAAAACAAAAAAACGCAAAAATATGGATGAAGATGAAGAGATGGAGAAAAAGGAAAGATGAAAGATGAAAGGAAAATGATCTAAGTCGCAATATATAGTAACTATGTTTTTTTTTGTAACTTATGAATATGTAATTCAATTCGATTATATTCAATTAAACAGAGTATTCAAACAAGCTAACCAAATGATTTAATGTCTATTGATTTAAGCGAACCCAAACAATTTACAAAACATTAATATCTCTCTCTCTCTCTCAGCTTACCTTAGTACTTATTATAATAAATATGCATAAATATATTGTATTGTATTTGTATTGTATTTTGTGTTCGTTTTGCAAAGTTTACCTTACCATTACCTTACCTTACCTTACCTTACATTAATTCTAGTGCTCGAATTTGTATTCAGCTCTTATATTTAATTCGATTCGCATTGATTTCCACTCAAAGACGAACCGAAGCGAAGCGAAACGATACGAAAATCGATGTTATAGCCGCGATATATCCTCCAGAAACGCAACAAGATCAAGAGAACAAGAAACAATGGCACCAAAACTCACACTCGCAGACACTGAGAACATTAGCCACATAACTTGTGTAGTTTATTATACATTAACATAATATACATACATAATAATTAATCCTTTTTTCCGTCGTCTAAGTGGGGCCGAGGAGCAGAAAAGAGAAATGAGAAAAGTGTATACTCAATATTCGTATTCGCATTCGTATTCGTCAAGTGCAAACCAAAGTAAACACGAAAACCAAGAAAACTTATTATATTATATTAAATTATATATTATTATGCCTACTTATTATTCCACTTTTATAATTATTATAACTTATTAAATGCAACCAAGTAAAACGACAAAAAAAGGACAAAAAACAAAAGTAATAACTACAACTAAAAATATATATTTATTATTAAATAAATGTGTGACTTATTCCAAAAACTATGCAAAAAAAGAAGAAAAAAAAAAAAACACAAAAAACTAAAACACAAAAATTTGTTTTCTTATTTTCCCTCACACACACACACACACACATACACATACACACCCATAGCCACAACCACAAAAATTGGCAATATTGCAGGCAAAAAGCTAGCACAGTTGAAGTGAGCACTATTGGCATTATTGGATCGGATCGAAGAGTTATGTCCAAGAGAATATGACAAAAACCATGGGAACTTCAGCCGTGAAAGTCACAACACACAACAACAGCACTCGCATTTATACAACAAAGATATATATTTGAGAAAACAAACCAAGTTTGAACTAAGTTTTATGCATATATAACTAAATATCTAGCCACACGAACTATGTATATCAAACTCGAACAAAGAGAGCCGCCTAGTTGCCCTTGTTTATTCGATTTTCCATTTCAATACAGTATAGTTTACGCCCGAGATCATTTTATTAGCGTCTACTAACTAACAATCAATGTGTGTGTGTCTGTAGTTTAACTGAAGGAAGCCGAAGAATCCCTTTTTTTTTGTTGGTGTATTTAGTGTGCTTATGGGGTCAGGCCACATCTACATGGCAACCATGGCTAAAGGCTAAAAATACTACAAAAAAAGTAATAAAGAAATATAAAAAGTAATACTGTGGATTAGGGAAAACAAGAAAGAAAATGCAAAACTCAAGCTAAATGCAATGTTGAGAGAGTTGCGAGCGCAAATTGAAAACACCAAATTTTTAAATATAAAATATAAATGATGTAAAGTTTTTTAAACAAAGATTTATAGTAAAATTTATTAAAATATATATATATCTATATATATATATATACATATTAAGTATGTATAACGATATATACAAGTACACAAGGATAAGAGAATCAAGAAACCACTACGGAATCACAAAAATCTTAAGGAATATGAGCAAAGTGAAATGTGAAATACATTAAAAAAATACCTAAAAATTACCTAGAAACGAATTTCAGCGAAATAACGATCGAACCGGAAGTTCCACCAGCTAAAGTCAACATCGTCACGCAAGCAGTGCCCTTTCCGGTGGCAAGCAGTGCAGCCCGCAAGCAGTTATGGTATTTGTTATCAACTTTGGCGATCGGTTTATCGAATTGAATAGCTGATTCGATGATGATTCGTTTCCCTCGACTTACCGGCGACTAGTTAACCTACTCAATACTCAATATGGTATATGGTATAATCACGTAATCAAGTAATATCCGTAAAATAAACGCCGCAGCGCAGCTGCGCCTGCGCATGTCTGTGTGTTTCGTCATTCACAAAAGCAATATAAAGATGTGGCGCGAGTTGGCTGTTTTGGCCCCAAATGCTGACTTAACTATATATATAATATATATATATGAAGATCGGAGGGAGGCGAACGGAACGCAGTTGTACAAATCGCAACTCAGCGACTCGGTCACATTCACATTCACGGAGCCGGCACGCATAAGTGCCATCACAAAAGCTTCGCCACTTACAATTTACAATTTACAAAAATACAAACAAGAAATTACGCAAAAAATACCCAAAGAAACACCCGTATTAATCAATGCATATTCGTAACGTCTTTCGTTGTCCTTGAAGACAGTTAAAGCAGAAACTTAAATAAGAAATTTACAGAGCTATAGAGCCACAGCACAACAACACACTATAAGGACACACAGCAATCGGATCTCAACGATCGGTGGTTTGATATTCATTTTAGCAGAACAAAAAAAATAAGAAAAATAAAAGCAACTAAAACTCAACCCAACAATGAAAATCATTAACTACGCATGAAATGCATTTAAAAATTAAATACAACAATGTAAGCAGATATATGTATGTCTACTTATATGGCCAGGATATAGCCGCGATAACAGAGCAACACCAAAAATGAAGAATTTGAGCCGAAAGTGAGAGCGAAGCGAAGCGAATTAAAAACGCCTCCCGAAGCTAAATCCCAAAAAAAAAAAAACAAAAAACAACTTCCAAACATTTTTATCGATATACACTTAAAATCTAGTCACGTAAGGCGATTTCATCGATACCAATCTAAGCTAAAGACAAAGACGAAAGTGCATGCAAATTAGCAAATATATATAAATATATATGAAACTTGAATTTAGTTTTTAAGCATTGACAAAATGCGACAAAATAATGCAAATTACAAAAAAAATGAAAAGATATTAAAGCCCTAAAACAAAGGCAACGGACACGGTAAGCAGTGCAAGCAGTTGAATCCACACCGAAAGACGTGGCCTGCTCCCTTCCAAGCAGTTACAGCAGTCGAAGGACTTTTTACAAGCAGTTGACAGCAGCAGCAAGCAAGTTTCTTAAGGAAAATGTTGTATGATTTGCTTACAAACAAGCAAATAGGTTTACAAAAAGATACAACTAACAACTGCAACAATAATGAGACAAAGAAAAAAACAACAACTAATATACGTAGCCGCTTTGTCAGACGGAACGCGCCCAAACCGAACTAAGTAACTAAGTAAATAAAAAACAAAACATTGCAAAAATATTTAAATCAATTTTGTGCATAAGGAAATCCGATAAGCGTTATGTATATGTATATACATACATATATATGTAAGCCAACTATATATATATATATATGTGTGTGTGAGCGTGTGCAAGAACTTGGCGATGAAAACAAAACCAAAAAAAAATAAATAAAAACCAAATATTAGAACTCAACTTCAAACTTAATTAATTAATTATCCATTTGATTGTGTATGCTAATTATGATTGTCTATAGCGTATCGTACAGATATACATACATATACTTTTTGCGACAAAGTCCAAGGTCAGCACCTAATTATGCATTACCTTGTATTGGTATTTACCCAATTAGTTTAACCATATACCGCATACCCATGTACTTACCTTACTTTAAATATGCTTACTTACATTTACTCACATTTCGATATTGTATTCGTAGCTCCCTGAGTAGAAATATTTCAATTTATTTGTACACAAAAAGGAAAAAAAAGAAAATAAAAACTAAATAAAAACATAAAACCTCACACCCCCCCCTACACTCCGACAACCGAAAAGAAAACCCACAACAGCCGCCCAGCAGCTAAACAAGAAAATGCTCTAACTTAACGTATTCCATACCACATAAGGTATATATATTTGAGTCCCAGGTTAATCGACACTGTGTTTCGATAATCCGATATATCGTATGATTCGAAAATGATTCGAAATGATTTCAAACTGTTTCAGAAACTGCGGCAAGAGAATCGAATTAAAGCAGACACTTTTTCACTAAACAAACATACAATTTGTGGCTCGACACAAAATTTGTCTAATCAATTCGATGAATTTCGATTTATTCGAGTAATCAATCTTACAATGTTCCGATTTATCGAATCACAGTAAATGATTCGAAATGATTTCAAACTGTATCAGTATATGTATAAAGACAGATACAATTTGTGGCTTGACACAAAATTTGTCAAATCAATTCGATTAATTTCGATTTATTTGAGAAATCAATCTTACAATGTTACGATAATCCGATTCATTGAATCACAGTAAATGATTCGAAATGATTTCAAATTGTATCAGAAACTGCGACAAATAAATCGAACTATAGCAAGATACAATTTGTGGCTTGTCAATTCGATTAATTTCGATTTATTTAATCAAGCTAACGCGATAGCATTGAAACACCGTGTGGATTTAATCAGGACTCGAGTACATATTTATGGATTTGAATGTATTTACCATAAATATAGCTAACAACTAACAAGGACACACGAAACAGATGACACTCACACCACACACAGCCACACAGTGAAGAAAATACTGATAGTGAGGTGACACAAATTTAGATGCATATTATTATATAACTTATATTGCAAAACCAAAAGCGATAAGCGATGAAAACGTAAATTTTACTATACTCATACAAATAAATTATATGAATGTATGTAAATTATTATTATATTTGTATTTTATTGTACGTATTAGTTTTGTTCACGCTCTTTTGCTCTTTCATAAACAAAAATCCAAAAAAAATAAAAAAATAAAAAACATAAAACGAAATCCAAACGAAAACCGATAACGAAACCTAAAACCAAACAAAATAAAACAAAAAGCCGGCAAGCAATGGTATACAAAATAAAATAAAAATATGACAAAACGAGACAAGCAAACTAAAAAGAAAATCAACAAAAAAATGAAATAAAATTGAATGAAAAATTTACCAAAAAAAAAAAACAACCCCCCGCTTTGTTTTAATTTAGTGGTTAAACGCTTCAGGTTGCAGTTAACATGGTTTATTTATTACACAAGTGCGTTTAAATATCATATATATATATATATATATATATATATATATCAGACATCAACAGTAGCATCTGTTTATCGTACTTTATAAATATATATTTTTATGAGATAGCTCAAAAAAAAAAACATCTACTGTTTCAGAACATTTCACATATACATATTTGGTATATCATTTAATCATTACGAGATAGTTTCGAGTACGTATGTTTGTTGTACTTAATAAATCGGTTTTCAGTTGCAATTGGACGCGTATTGGAATATAGATAATAAAATATAACACATCGTATTCCTGTTTATTTGGCAAAGACTGAGAATAACACCCAAATTCGGTATCTTTGATGTCATCCACTTGATTCCCATTATTACTCTGGATATGGTGGTATTTTTAGGGATAACTTTTTGAAACCTATCAATTATACAGGTAGATCCTTTTGGAAATACATAAATACACTTATAACATTTTGTGAGACTTATATATAAACGTTAACTTTATAATATGTTTCGACAGATACGAAGTTCAACAAGTTTTTATCAGTTTTTAAAACATTCTTAAAGAGTAGAAATGAACTATATAGAATGAATTACATTGAAATGTTTTTTAAAAGCTTAAAGCACGTAAAATTCGAACATGATAGTTCCATCTAATGAATATTATAAAACCTCGAAGCCAAGGCTTAAAATTGGTATTTGGGAAGCCATTCATTGGGGATTACTAAAGCTGGGATAAATTGATTCATTTTTCCTTTGGGTGGGTGTATTTCAAAACAGCTCTTCACTGGCTCGTATTGCTATTATTTTTAGGAAATGAATAACTTAACAATTACAAAAAAACCCGTAAGTAAACAACTCAAATAACTCAGATATCAAAGCAGTAAATGAACATTTCACAAAATAAACAACTCAAAAAATGAACACCTCAGAAAATGAACAACTCCGAACAACAGTGGGGAAATAACAGTGAAACAAAATAAAAACAACAACAGTGAATAGCTACAGGATAATTATCTCAGCTTAAAATAAAATTACCAAAATAAAGAACTACAGAAGTAAGGTTAAGGAAAAGTTAACCCTGGTTCAGTTAAGGAAAAGCTTGATTATTCACTCAACAACAATTTTCAAGAGCTGTTCAAAATCTTTGCTCTGCAATGCGGTCAAGATGCCGATTCCGGGTCCGATCGATCCTTGAGCGATACACCTTAAACGCCCAACTCCCGGCTGGGCGTGGTGGTGGCCATCTGTCCAGTATTACTCCCGGCCGGAGGAGCAGCCACCAGGCTGGGCAGCCACTTGTTGAGCAGCGTACGAATGGCAAAGGTGACGTCGTGGTTGGCAAAGCAGAAAAGGAAGGAGACGACAAAGCCCTGCAGGCTGACCAGGACAACGGAGAGCAGCTGATAGAACCGATCCAGCTGGGTGCCCGCATCCGGACGATAGGGGAGCAGAAAGTGCTGAAGTCCAAAGAGCGGCACCAAGATGATAGTGGCCCGCACCGCTTTCCGGATGGCCAAAGGAGCGGGTTGTGCCGACTGTGGATGAAGTTTGCGCACAATCACCCGCAGCACATTGATGAGGAAAACTAAAGAGTTTATATGGAAATTCGATTTTTACATCCAAGACCACTGTTATATGTTTTTACTCACTGAAGCTGGCCACCAATGAGAGGGTTATAGGCACCGAGAAGATCCACAGGTAAAGACTATCATTGATCCAGCAGCTGGAGGTATATCCATAAAGTAAGATTGTGTACGAAAGGAATATAGAAGAAGTATTTTTATGAGTGTAGTCTGTGAAAAGGGGAACCCTCTCAGCTACTCACTGTTCATTGTCTGAGTCACTGAAATGTCTGGCCAGGCCGTAGACGATGGCAAAGTGTATGGGTGAGAACCAGCTGATGATGATGAACCAGCGCATCACAATCGTATCCTTGACAAAGACCTGAAGGAAGAAGAAAGTCCTTGACATCCTTGACAACATGACGGAGAGCAGTTTGCCAATGTTACGACCCGCTGGCTTGCTCTCACATAAATTGGAGGGCGAGAACAAATCACATCTGCCGTGCACAACACTCGCTCATAAAGAATGCAAAATTGCAAACTAAACCAAAGCAGAGCTACAGGGAAGCTCGCCTGTCACCGACTTACCACAACGAGGACCAGGTGCAGATGCAGTCCCTCGCAGAACATCCAGAAATAATTGACCAACATGAAATAGTGCACCACGAGGTGTAAGCCGATACACCAGAGCTGAAAGCATTTTGTAACACAAACATGGGAAGGCGGTTAGGCATTATCACACCTTGACAAAAACACAGCATAGAAGGGTATTTAGGAAATGCACTTGGCCAAAAAAAAAATTTGTTGTTTGTTTGCATGAATTTTAATTTATATATAAACAAATGTATACTCGTCTTATATGAAATATGAAGATTTTTCAATATTGTTGGAATTGTTGGTGTGTTTTTAAAGTTATATTGGAGTACTGTTTGAGTACTGTTGGAGTACTGTTGGAGTACTGTGGGAATATTGCGAAGTACTATTGGACTAAGGTTTTTTGTAATGTTAGGGTAAGGTGGGGTAAAGCCGACAGTGTGGGTAAACCCGACCTCCCTCTGTTTTCGAAAATCGGAAGCACTACGCAAAATAATATTAGTGTTGTCGTGTAGAGCATCGAAAACAATGAAAATGGTGGTATGACACCATTTTATTAGTCAACATTGAGATGGTCAAACGACGACAAGTTTGTTTTCACAATTTTGACTTTCATTTTTGTGCATAATTAACTGCAGGATATTTCTTTTTGTCAAAGTTATCGCATGAAAAGGTAAGTGGATTTAGATTCTTTGAATAAAGTCCTACAAAGTGCATATAAGTTTGGTTCATTTTTTTTCATAATTTCTTTTTTAATTGCGTTTTTATGAAAAATTACGTCGTGGGGCAAATCCGACCTCTAAATAGTGGGGTAAATCCTGCCGCAAAAAAAGCCAAAAAAACAACAATCACACAAAAACCATCAACATCGCAGCCAACCAGACGTTCAACTCGAACCAAAAAACGCCAGCAAGCTATTTGAGCAGCGAATCAGATGATACTGATTAATTATTTTGCTATTTTCATTTTTTTAATTCTATTATCTTTTATTACAATTATATAACATAACTTTGATTGATATATCATTGCAAAACCTATATTTAGGTTATATCTGTACTAAATCAACCAAAAACATAGGCGGTCGGGTTTACCCCATCATTTTTGAACATAGCAAAAATGAACTTTTTCGTAAAACGCTTGTATCTCAAAACTTTTCAAAGGTATGAATAAAATGCTATGCATAGAAAGTTGCGCAAAGGTCTAACCTTTAATTTGGTATATATAACGACTTGATCCGATGTAAAATAAGCATTTTATAGCCAAAACCATTTACTAGGTCGGCTTTACCCCACCTTACCCTAAATATTTTTTGAATATTATTGTTGGTGTTTTTTTTTAGAGTTTTATTGGAATATTGTTGGAGTACTGTTGGAATGTTTTCAAGTAACATTGTGCAGTTATTATAATATTCAATAGGATTGCAACTGTTAAATAAAAAAATGAATTTCCTATTTTCAGTTTTAAAGTCACCTAATAGTTTTTTTCTCACTGCACAACTCACCGGATTGTCGGCTATGATTTCGGGTCGTTCCACAACCAGGCGATACCACAAAATCCAGGCCACACAGGTGAAGGCCAGCGAGGCGAACAGGTGCACATGGATACGGATGCGGGTGCAACGCAGGGATCTGCAAATGGAAGACAGGATGCCAGTTGCATTTCCACTTGCAGTTACAGTTGCAGTTGCATTTGCAGTTTGCCAAACACTTACTTGAAGCCCAGGAAGATGATAATCGATACGAGCAGGGCCAGCAGGGAGAGGGCGTAGCCCTTTACATACAGCTCGTTGATGAACTGACGGAACTGCGGTGGCAACTTTCTTGATTAATGCCCATTGCCATCCCCTCGCTTGTCGGTGAAGCACTTACCTCGAGGTCCTCGTAGTCCACGCAGTTGGTGTAATTGGACCAGGTCCGATTGGTCATGGGATGACGAAACCAGGAGCCGTTTTCCAGGCAGCTACGGTTCAGAATGCGACAAGCTTACGTTAGTTGTGGCTTGCCGAAATATAATAAACTTATAAATATATATATAAATATTTTTATGAAATGCTAAACTAACAAATTATGTAATCCTGAAGCTAAAGCTGAACTGCAAATGAATTCAAATGCATTTAAATAAATGCTATCTCCAGCCTGAAAATGTCCAGGCCCTGTCAATCCCCCCGAGAGGAGTAATGGCCCAGCCATTTTGGGCATTTAACTCACGTCTTGTGGGCCAGAAATTTGCTGTTGAATCCCTCGACGAAATCGGGACAATATTGACTCAGCACGGTGCCGGCCGGGGTCCTCGGCCAGCAGAGATATCCGTCAAAGTTCAGGGGGCAGAAGAGTCGCTCCCCGGTGGTGGTGGTGGTGGCCTGGTGGCTCTGCTTCTGCTGATTTGTGGCCATTGTGCCACTGAGAACGGTGGCCAGCAGCTCCTCCTTCTCCGCCTGCTCCACATCCACGTTCCGCATGTCGATGGCGCCCTCATTCAGCACAGCGTTCTCCAGATATCGCGGCACGGGACTGAAGTTCTCTGGCAAATCCAAATCATAGTCTGTGCACGTCGAGAAATTACAATATTATTCATAGGGTTTGGCTGGTGATTTAAATGCCACAATTTTAATATTTCGAAAAGATTCTCAAGCCTCATCATTATCTTAATTATTTCAAAGAAAAAGCCTCCTTAAAACTCAAAGAAAACAAGTTGAAATACACATAAAATGATATCAGATGGCCCAACTTGTAATTTTCTTTGCACTTTATATTTCCTCAGTGAACGCACTTGATGTGTGGCATGTGGCAAATCACGTATACGCCATGGTGGCCGCCACTCACCTGTTGCTGCCGCCTCGCCAACGACTGACACTGACGGGTCGTCGTATGTGTCGTTCTGGTATCGGTACACGCACTCGGCATACAAATGCCTTAAAAATATGCGCAGATTATCCTGCGCCTGGGGCTGCGTGTATGACTGCTGGGATGCCGTTGCCGTGGCCATTGCCACATTTTCTGAACCAGAATCTGAATCCGAGTCTGAAGCATTTGTCCCCATCGTTGGTGGTGCCTCCTCAATGCTCGTCATGGAATAGTGTACTGCAATAAACGGTTGTGTTTTGCATAAAATATTGTTTACTTTGTATACTCTATCAGTATTGCAGGCAGGTATTCTCATTTTTCCAGAACAGTTTTTAAATTATAAATAATTTATATTGACGAATTTACCCAAAAAAAAATTAATGTAAATAAAAGGTTAGATGTTTTCTTATATTTTCAAGATTTAAATACATTTAAGCTCCTAAAAATGTGTAACATTTTGCTCAGTGCTAGAAGCCATCGGGAATTGGACTCGCTTGTGGCTATCCATTCGTGTGTGCATTGCTAATTTGGTTAGGCTTCAAAGAGTTCAGTTTAACTGAGTCGAGCTGCTGCCTGCCTGAGTTCGGTTGATAGCCCCGTGAAAGGTGAAGTGAAAGAAAAAAAAAACCCCCCGACACAGTCCTTTTGTCCTTTTTGGCAACCCGAAACAGCCATTGTCCCCACATTCCTTGCCCATGTTCATATGTACCATACACCTCTTCTAGTCATACGTTATAAATCAGTTTATTGTCTAATTAATGGCGGTGCTTAAATGTGGAGGGGTAAACTTAATTGCATTTCGTCACAAAGGGAAGGCAAATGCCATGGGGCAACACTGAAATGAAATGCACTGCGCATCGATCGAATATAGTACTCCGGCGACAGGGAGAAGCAAGGAGCGGGGGAGCACATGTGCCACAGGATGAGCTGCAAAGTTCTTGCCTAACTTGGTTATATTTTTAATCAAAACTCATTTCGCTTGATTGAGTTTCAACAGAAGCCCCAGAAGCACACACACAGAAACGAAAACAACGAGCAGGGAGGTGGATTTACCATGCCTGGGCCAAACTTTAATTTGCGGCATTAATCTATTATACGGCGTTGGACAGTTTCCATGATGGAAATGTGCGCTGGCTAAACATTTTGCCTGTTATTTATTTTTGCAAGTGTCTCGGCCAGGCAATTAGCCCAGGTAAGCAGGAAAAACGGGTGGAAGGTTAGAGGAAAGTGGCAGGAAGAAGTCCATTATTATTTGGATTTCGACTCGAATGTTGGAATACTGTTGGAGTAGCGTTGTAGTAAGAGTTGGAGTAGTGTTTCAGTCAAATTGGAGAAGTGTTCGGATAGTGTTTGATTAGTTTCCGAGCATTTTCGGAGTGGTGTTGCAGTATTATTGTGCGCGTAGTATTGGAGTAATGTTGTTGTAATGTTGGAGTAAATTTAGAGTATTATTGGAATACTTTGACACAAGAAATAGCTGTCATGATTGGAGTAAAACTGGTGCTCTGTTTGAGTTGAATGTTTTAAATGTGTTGTTGTCTTTGTAATATAGTTTGTTTTTAATATTTTTAGACTAGAAAATTCATTGGAGAAAATTTTGTTTGCTATTTTGTATTATTTTCTTAATCTAAATTTAATTTGTTCCAAGCTTTCAAGGCATTGGGTTCAAGGTTCCATGATGAAAATTACTCTGTCCAAACACGCTTACACGTTATTTATATTTGCAAGTGTCTCGGCCAGCTAATTAGCCCCGTAAAGATGGTAAGGGGGGAGGACAGGATGGTGGAAAAAAAAAACACGGGAAACCAGATGTAGAAACAAAGGAATGTGGGCCGCTTTTGTTGGCCATCAATTCAAAATGCCGCCGGACCGTGGGCTCCTGTCATGTCTCCTGCAGCCCTAATGAGCATTAATTGCATTTAGATGAGTCCTTTATGGGCGAGTCCTGTGCCCACTGTTAAATTAAATTCATTGCAATGTTTTCCCTTTATCATCGGCCTTCTCTGCCCCCAAGGCCTGCTCCGAGATAATAGATAATACATATAATGGTAATTGAATTTGCCTTTGCCCGGGGGATTCTTACTATTCCGAAGGAGATTCATTTGTCATGTCATCTTTAAACAGTGCGTTTCATAATCACAAATACTAATAACGAAAAGGAGAGTCCTTTTCATAGTTTTGTTTGCTTGAAGCATCCATAAAACACAAATAATTGGAAAACGTTTGCCTGCATAAATTATGCTTGAAATTGAAATTTATTGTCAACAATTGGGTGAAAAGAACGAGGACTTTGGTGGCAGGACCCCCGCTGCACAGGATACAAATGGCCAATCAATTTGGGGAGCCCGGCGGCGAAGTGCCGGCGGAGGAATAATTATATGTACACATGCTGAATATTGATGATGAATTGTTTTGTCTGCGAGCTGAGACAAAATAAAAAAAAAGGAAACCATCAATGCGGTTAATGATGCTGCTGGTGGCGTCTACCCCCGGAAACGGAAATGCCACGCAATCACACACACACACACACACACACTCAGGCCTAATGGAAAATGCCAATGTGTAATACTGGTAATATTGTATTATTTTCGGTTTTTATTTCGTCTATTTTTGCCAGGCTCCCTTCTTCCCCCTCTCTGGTTCTCCAATTATAATAATAAATGACAGAGTCCTGGCTCTGTAATGCAATTATGTACGCCGACTGGCCACGAATCCCCGTTCGGAAGCTGGATAATCTAAAAGTTGCTTGCCTTGCAAATTATTGCACTCATTTCCTGCCAATCACTGTGGTATTTTGAGCCGTGTAGCGCAAAACTTTTCGCATAAACCCCGGAGTACTTGTAATTAGATGGGCGCTCAACAGAAAAACAGAAAAACAGAAGCAGAACCAGAGCCAGGAATCTAATTAATTAATTTGTACGCGGTACACCACTATTCAATTCAGTTGTTTACTTGATTGAAGTGCCTGCAAATGAGCTGCGGGTCTCGTGCGGCGTCTAAATTATGCGAAATATTTTCAGAAATATTTTTGAGAACATAAGTATATTTTTGCACCTGATATTCACATAATTCTGGGTGTGAGAATTGAACAGCAGATCGCTTACATTAAGCGTTTCTCGCGTTGGGTTCATTCACTCGCGCTGGCCATTCATTTCAATTGTTCAATTTTAAATTTTAAACAATCACGTACAACAACAATACCAAAACACAAAAAGTACCGAGAACGCACGCAAAAAAGTACGCGTACCGTTATCAAGCAAGTAAAACCTCGGAAGCTTTTTACTTTTCACTTTTCACGCTTTCCACTCCGCTTTTTCACTCCGCTCGGCTCTGCGTTTCGCTGCCAAGTGGCAAGGCATCCGGCGAAAAGAACCTGCCCTTGCTCTCGCATTTTTCCATTTTCCGACACTGAGAGAATTTCAAAATTTTAAATACAAAATAAAGGCGACTCAATGAATTCAGTTAATTAAGTTTAGGATTTTTAAAAATATTCGATATCCTTAAATCTCTATCACACTTTAAATGTTAATTAGCAAATTAACTGTTCTATTAATTTATTTTAGGAAATATTTTACTATGTAATCATTTTACTCTTAAAATATATTTATATTTTTTATTTTTTTTTTTATTTTAAAAACCAACTAACTTTGCCTTTTCTCTCACTGCATGCACACTGCTTCCCCTCGCGTCCGAGCACTGCTTTGGCAGCAACAAGTTGTTTGGCCGGCCTGCGCCTGCTTTCCTATGTATATGTTCGGTAGTAAATGTTCTGTGTGGTGGGCGTATTGTATAACAGTTGGCTTAAGAGTGGAGAGGGGGCGTGGCAAGGCTCACACAGATGGGACATACAAATTGCTGCGTTTCAAATTTAGTTGGTGAAATTACCTTAACCCGCAGCCAGCAAAAATATCTTCAAATTGTATATATTGTGAAATTAAAAATAAATATTTTGGCTTATATTTGTTTTATGTTTTAATATTTAAATCAAGTATTTAGATTTTGCTGTGATCTGTAGATTCTATTAATCCTTTTTAAGCTTGAAATTAGTTTAAGAATTGAAAACTGGTATATGTACATAAGTGTTATACTTAAAAAAGAAAATTTATAATAATTTATATTTATATATACATATATAACTATGTATTTTAATGTATCTCAAGGGGTTAAGACAAACACAAAACAGTGTTTCGTTTACTTTGAAACTGTAGTTAAGCCCATTTGATGCCATTGCAGGTGAAGTTTTTTTTATTATCCGCCCCGTTGCCTTTCAGATCAGCTTTACTGAGCTTTATAAAGGATATATATTTAAGATATATATATATGTATATATTATTAAATATATATTTATCTTTATACATATATACTTTTCTGTTACTTTGTTGCCACTGCCCTTCGATATCTCAATTCATGCAAACTTTCGCCTCCATCTACTTTCATAAAATTTATTCCAGAATTTCTTATGTCCTGCATAGCGAATGTACATGTTTATACGCGTCCAGTTGCGTAACGAGAATAAATATTTTATGCTGCTCTGCTCCCGGTTCCCTTTTCCCCTGTTTCCTGTTTTCCACCGCCAACTTTTTCCTCTTCGGCAGGAATTGGCATCGACTTGGCACTTGTGACCGTAGCAAGAGAATTTAATATAAAATGCATTTTGCAATTAGCAGCATTTTGAGGTGCACAAATTCCAGGGTCTTAAGCAGAAAGCAAAATAAAGGCAAGTGCTTTGGCAAAATCCTTTTCATTTCGCCAGTTGCCTGAATAAACTTGCAAATGTTTGCACATACTGGGAATATATTTATTTATGTGCTTGCATGTGCTTGCATTTTTTAATTATTTAGTTGTTACTTAAAGCTAAAATCCAAGGATTAACTCACTTTATTCGGCTTATAAGGCATGGTTTTCCAAACTTGAAATACTAAATAGTATTTAGGAATATTTATTATACCTTAAATATTAATAAATTAAGAAAATAGATTTAGTTTAAAGGTTATTATAATTTAAAAAAACGTAGCTACAAATTCCCTCAAAGGTATAGTTTTTATTTGTCTTAAAGCAAAGATGCTCAGATAAATATAATATTAAAAAGAATCTCATAACAGAAATCTCTCTCAAATTATATTTTTCAAACCCCAAATAACCCATAGAATGAGAAAACTTTTGGCAGCCACTTTTGAAACCTAAATTCTGACAACTTTAAGTAATCTCGGAGAGACAAAAGCAAAGATATGTATACATACCATATGTACATAGTCACTATCGCCGACTTACTTCTATCTTCTAAAAGCTTGAGCCCTATCTGGCGCCACCGCGGAGAGAGCGCTTAAGGTGCTAGTGCAAGTGTTTAGGCCACGGCCAACACAACCGATTTTTTGTTAGGTAATAGCACAGCGCATGGCACACACTGCAAGTGCCACGTTTCGTTTCGATAACACAGAAGAATAAAAAATTATAATAATTATATAGAAAAAAAAAAAACGAAAGAAATAATGATGTAAAGTCCGCTATCACCTGCACGTTCGCCGCGGCCGTTCGCTGACCCATAAAAGCTGGGATCACCGTGGTCAGAGGCATCAGTGCATTGGCAACATGGTTCCCTTCCAGTCTCAGTCTCGCTCAACCTTCGCTCCGCTCCTGGCGCTAGTCCTGGCCTTGGTCTTCGGTGGAGTCCAGGTGCGCGGCGACTACGACTGGTACGGCGACTTGCCGTACTCCAGCTCCGACCTAGACTATATCTACAGCGATGTCAACTACGATACCGTGTGCCCGCCAGGTGGATATCAAGTGTGCGCCAGCGATGGCTATAATACCCTGAAATTCATTATTTTCTCTCTCATATTTTTCTAGAACTCACTCAGGTGGACCTCAAGCACTGCTCTTCGTATTCCGCTCCCTTGTATGGTCCTTCTCGGGGCTACAACTCGAAGAGCAGCTCCTCGGCCCAAGGATATTATCGTGCTGCTGGTCCTGTACAGTATTCCTCGTCCTCATCTCAAAATTCGTATGCCTATGCCGCGGCCAGTGGTCCCTATGGGGCCAAGGCCAGTGCCGAGGCTCCCGGCCCGCAGCCAGTGGCTCCCGCTTCCTATTCAGTGTCTTATTCAGCTCCCTCTTCCTATCCTTCGGTTCCTGTTTCCTATCCTTCGTATCCTTCTCCTCCATCTTCGTATCCTTCAGCTCCCTCTGCCTATCCTTCAGCTCCCTCTGCCTATCCTTCAGCTCCCTCTGCCTATCCTTCAGCTCCCTCTGCCTATCCTTCAGCTCCCTCTGCCTATCCTTCAGCTCCCTCTGCCTATCCTTCAGCTCCCTCTGCCTATCCTTCGTATCCCGAACCGATTCTGGTTTACTCGAAAGCCATAAACGCCTATGCCGCTGCCTATAGTCCTTATAGCACTACCACCCAGGCGCCATCTACCGGATCCACTGTATCATCGGCCACCACAGCCACCACAAGGGCCAGCGGATATCCGGGTTATCCGACGACGTCTGCAGCCACTACTGTGTCTACCTCTGCAGCAACAACTGCTGCTACTACAGCTGCTACTACAGCTGCAACCACTGCTGCAACTACTGCTGCAACTACTGCAGCAACATCTGCTGCTACAACTGCAGCAACTACTGCTGCAACTACTGCAGCAACTACTGCTGCAACTACTGCAGCAACTACTGCTGCAACTACTGCAGCAACTACTGCTGCAACCACTGCTGCTACAACTGCAGCAACAACTGCAGCAACAACTGCAGCAACTACTGCAGCAACTACTGCTGCTACAACTGCAGCAACTACTACTACTGCAGCACCCACGGTAAGTTGGCCCCCATAGAGACCCAGCGAAACCCCCAACATAATCTCTCTTTTTCCACAGAACGGTTAAGGAATCCGAAAGATGAACATCCTTAATGAAATAGAAAACTTATCAATGGCATCAACCGAAATTATTACAGAGAAATAGAAACCACAAACCATCCAGAAACTCCAGAAAAATTAAAGACATCACCACAACAAAATCATAATTCTAAATGCGAGCAATATGTAGTGTATCACTTGTAGTATCTTTCCAACAATAAATAAAGCAATCAGTACAGCACATAAACAAGTTAAGTCGATCGCATCTGGCCCTCCATTCTTTGGTTTCTTCCAGCTACATATTTAGCTGCGGGGAGAACCGGGTGGGAAAAGGGAAAAGCAAACTAAAAATAGGTCGCTTTTCCAAGGGCTTTTGAGGGAAACAAGAAAATTTTCCAATTACTAACTTATAGAAATAATTCTTTTTGAGTATGAAAAACAAAAATAAAAATTGCTGGAAAATAAATAATAAAGTATACATTAAAATTAACAACAAATAAATAATATAGTAAATAAAATAATAAGAAAAAAAAGCTATCTTTGGCAGTTTGCAATTGAATCATATGATTTATAGGGGCGGAAATGACTCTTTCACTGCATAATGGCCTGCAAAGGGTTAGTTTAATACATCTTTTTATAAACAATAGCTCATAATTCAGCTCTAAATTCGATGTGCAAACATGCTGAAATCCGACATTAATATTGTGATTTTAAAAATGCGGAAAATGGCTTTAATTTCGGAAATAGGTAGCTGTTAGGGATAACATTTATTTCACATGGTGTTGGTGTAGGTGTTGGTGTTGTTGTTGTTGTTGTTGTTGTTGTTGTTGATGTTGGTGTTGTATGTGCGGCGGTGTGTGTGCCACTTATCAGCGCCTTCCGAAAAAACACACACGCGAACAGGTGTTTGGCATTGTTTGCGCGCTGCATAATTTTAGCTGCGGCTTAATAGATTCTTTTTTGTTTTTTTTTTTTTTTTTGTTTAAACAGTTTTCCGCTTTTGTGCTCGTGCTTATCTGTTGACAATAAAACGGCATTAAAAGCGTTGGGAAAATGGCGGGTCGGAAGTCGGGGGAAAACAATGGGCTGGGCTGGGCGCAAGGCTTGTGGGGACAGGCGGAAAAGCGGAAACGGAAATTAACAAATGCCCCAGGCAGCACTTGGCATGCCAAACAAGAACCGCTTCGGCTAAAATAGCCATTTATATTCAAATTGTCTTAACTTGGCTCAGATTTTTGCCCACAAGCTTACCATATTCTCGTTTTTTTCTGCGCCCTGTCTACATTTTTGACAGTATTTGAAACGGACAAAAAAAAAAAAAAAAAACAATATGCCTTTGAGGGCGGCCTTTGCACAGTCAAAAGTTTAATGGGGAAATGTGTTTAATTAAATGATAAACATTTAATTTGGGTTTCTCAGTTTGCCCACGAGACTTTGTTTACTTTTTTTTGAGGGAAAGAAAGGAGCATGGAAGAGTTTTCAAAGGAAAGTTGGTTTAATGAGTTAACACACTATATAAAAAATGATATAGAAAATGATATGGAAAATTATATAGAAATTTTATAGAAAATAAAATAGAAAATAAAATAGAAAATAAAATAGAAAATAAAAAAAGAAAATAAAATAGAAAATAAAATAGAAAATAAAATAGAAAATAAAATTGAAAATAAAATAGAAACTAATATAGAAAATTTAAAGAAAATTATATAGAAAATAAAATAGAAAAAAAAAAAAAAGAAACTAATATAGAAAATAAAATATAAACTAATATAGAAAATTATATAGAAAATCATATAGAAAGTTATATAGAAAATTATATAGAAAATGTATAGGTTTTAAAGGGATTTTTAGGGTTCTAGCTGGTATTTCCTTAGCACTTTCTTGTGCATTCCGCCAATACCTATATCTCTATGATCTATAAGTTATCTATAATCTAGAAATATCTTTATTATATAATCTATAAGATACATAAAGCATAAAGATACACGAATTTACAGCGAAATTCGATTACAAAAAAATATAAAGTCATCTTCTTTGTAATGGTTAAGTTTTTGAATATATCTACACTATAAAAAATGTAAAAAAAAAATTATAAATATAGTTAAGCAGAATCTTAATTGAAACGAGAAAGCTTTGGACACCGAGTATTTCATAGTTACAGAGTAATTTTTATATTATTTCTAACTTGTTTTAGCATATATTTATAATATGCATTGTATTTATTTTAATGTATTTATTTTATTATATTTTTTTTTAAATATACAAAAATAAAAACATAAATTCTTTTTTTTTCCGCTGCTAATCTCCGACTTTAAATTAAAACTGACAGATAAAAAACGATCTTATATATATTATATCACACATTTTATGGTTAATCTTTATTTATAATTTTTCGCTATATTTACAGGTGTTTTCAAATGATAAATCGTCTCGGTCTTATCACTTTGGCATTAATCATGTAGCGCCCGGACGGGGAATCTGGAATCTTGAAAACTTTTTGAGGCCACAAGCCGTTCGCCGTGTCTTGCAGCAAGTTTTGCATATTTTTGTGTAAAATAATTTGTAAAATTTCATTTATTTGATTTGATTTACCCCGCCGGCACCTAGAACCCGGCCCGACAACCAGCAGCAATGTTGTTTTTTGCTCCAGCAACTGCTGTTTTTCGCTTTGCTCATTAAAAGTTCGTTGAATGGTAAATGAGTGCGAAAAGTGCTGAGCGTAGGGAAAAAAGACCAAAGCGGATAGAAAAAATTTTAAATTAAAAAAAGAAGCAAAAAAAAAATATAACCAGCACAATTGAATGAACTCTTTTCTTGGGCGCCGCTTGGAAAATTGCGGAAAAAGCTGAAATGGAACTTGAAAGACAGCTGCCACGCGGTAGGAGGAAAATTCCTCGAAAAAACTCCTCCTTCTGATTGGCAGGGGATCCTAAGCCAATTATTGACATTCTATGGCAGCTCGCATAAATCAAAATTTGCACAGGGAACTTTGGAATATAAAGGAGAGTCCGGACAAGTTGCTGCAAAGCTGCTGCGAGCTGCTGCCTTCGATTGCCCGTACTTAAGATTGTTTTGCGGATTTAAATACAGGGTGTTAACCAAGTTGAAGAGTTTATTGGTTTTTAAATTGGGAAATGAAATAAGGAATTTAACTTTAGAGAAAAATCAGAGGAGATATGGCTGAAAATGCGCTCATTTGTAGCTTAAAATATTTAAATATTTAAAAAATAATAATCATATCTTTATTACGTAATGAAAAATACTTTTAAATTAATATACTTAATATTTTAAAATTGTTTTTTTTTAATTTTTTTTTAATTTTTTATATTTTATATATTTCATATATGTTATACATTTTATATATTTTATATAAGCCATATACGATTTTTTTTACCCATTATAATATCCGCTTTAAGCAACATTTAACTAGTTTCATATTTATTTTATTTCTATTTAATTTATTTAATATTTAAAGACCCCTATTATCTATTAATTCTTAAAATTCTTATTGTAGAATAATATATTTCAATTAAAAAATATATTTAATTTAAATTTAATTATATTTCTTATCCCCAAGATACAAAACAAAGGGAACACATGGCCGGGTTCCCGATTTTTTCTTCTTTTTTTTTTTTAATAAATTCAAAGCAGGACAAGATTTGTGGTGGCTTAGTCGTGGGCAAATATTTTATTTAGATTTTTTGGATACCACGCTGCCACGCCCACAAGGCATAAATCAAATAGCGCTACGCATGCTTTGATTTTCATCTCCCCAAAAATGTTTTTTGTTGGGTTTTTTTCCCCGTTTAATTTTCTTTTTTTGTATTTTTTCTGCTGCCCCCGAATGGATATTTATGGCCGTGAAATCGGCTTATAACATTTAGCCCATGGATTGTGTACGGCAGCGCCTATATATCCAGCGGATTGTTTACAATCGATGGAATCGAAAATCGCCACGAAATCAGATCGCACTTAACAGACAAGAACAATGTGTTGGTTATTTTTATTGGATTTAATTTGCGGCAACATCTACCTGAACTTGCCCGGCGATAATGCCTCTATCTCCTCCGGAAGCCAAAGCTCCAGGCGTACACAACACAATTAATGCAAAATTTATAGATGGCAAATTGTGGCAGGTTTTTCACTTAGCCGACAGCCCTCTGTGTTGCCTCCAATATTCATAGATTTCCTATTAATTAGCCACCTGTCGATTAATCAAGATTAAGCCTATTTAATTACCTCAGGTGAAATAATCGACTTGTTTTTATAAATAGCTCTCGGGTGGAGATATTTTTATGCGTAAAGCCATTTGTAATTAATTAATTATATATTTTCATCATTATTAAACAACTCCATTGAAGGGTATTTTGTTAAGAGTATCATCATAGCAAATATACAATAATTGATAAATTTAAAAATTTTAATGGAAAAACAATGAAGGTGCAGACGGTTTTCGCTTGCTAGAAAAAATAAATAGAACCTTGAGTTATTTTGCGTTTTAAATGGAGTATTAAAGAGGTTAATTGTATGATTTTGGGGTGTTTTTAGAAGGCTTAGGATTCTTTCATTAACAAAATAAATAATAAAAATTTTAAGAAATTTTAAAACTTATTAATTAGCAATTAACTATAACATTTATTAAGCTCTACTTGATATTGATTTTAATTTGTAATAATATAAATAATTATAATCTTTGCTTTAGGTGTTTTAAAAAGACTTATAATTCCCTTAATTAACAAAATAAATAATAAACATTTAAATAAAATTCAAAACGTATAATATATCAATTAATTAGAATATTTTTTATGCTCTATTCAATATTAATTTCAATTAATAACAATAGAAATAATTACAATGCATATTTAAATGTATTTTTTTATGGTTATTTTTCGTTTGACACTTGTGATGGCAAAAATGTTCTGACAATCCGCGGTAATATTAGCCGGCAATTGTTTATTCGCTTCAACGAATATTGGTTATTAATGGCTGGCGACATGGGACAACCCACCAGCAATCCAGCATTACAATATTTTTTTAAAATGTCCAAGGCTAATGGCCATTGAATATGTTTGCAAAATTAATCAAAAGCGCCGCTGACAGCTCAGGGAGCGTCGCCAGGAAAATAAATTAAAAATACATAAAGCGCTCAATTACGAAATTTGGTACATTTAATTTGGTACATTTGTGCAGGCACAAAGACCAGAAGAAACCCAGAAAAAAAAGAACGGAAAGAAAAAATATGAACGAGAAATGGCAACAGCAACACCCGGCAGCAATAGAAGCAGTCTACACAGGGAAAAATAAAGGTTTTTTATTTAGAAAATGTAATATGTTTCGTAATTTAGAAATTGTAATTTAGAAATTAAAAACCCCTAAAAATAATAATAATAAATAATTCCCAACGACAAAATATGTCTTTGAAAAATACTGCCCAAAAGTATTCTATACTATCTTTCTATCCAAGCCCAGAAATATATCATAGCATACTTTTAGGCACAAATTTAAATTATTTAAAATCCATTAAAATACAACATGCTCCTCTCAAAACTCCATTTATAAATTTCTATATTAATAAAATAATTTTTATGTTTTTTTAGGCACGTTTCTACTAGTAAACCTTATCGAGTGGGCACTGTATTTAGATCTAGGAACATTTTTGAGCTTGTTTTAATCTTTGGACCAGTCTAAACTGGACAATGGACAACAGCAGTCACTGAAATGGAATCCAATTTCCATGTATACTTTTTTCGCTGTCATTTCCTCTTTGTTTTCCGCAGTTTTCCTTTTACTTTTTGGTGTCTACTGTTCCGGGGGTCGGCATAAAAATTTAATATGCGCCCCAAAGTCGGCTGCAATAAAATGCTTAACTTACTGTAGTGCCGCAAGTAACTTCAATGTGAATCATAAACCATGATCCAAGGTCTCTCCCCTCAGTCCAAATTATGTTGTAAAAGTGCCGAAAAACAAGCAAATGGCACGACACTTGAGATCCCATTTCCCCGCACATTTTTCTCAACCAAAAACAAAAACAACAAAAAAAAAAGCAGAAAACAGAGAACAAACAGAGGACACTCGCCGCCTCATTAGTCGAAGCGGTCACTCTAAGAGCCAATGGTTTTTCGGGGCTTTTCATGGGGTTTTCCGCTGGATAGAGGGATGTTTTCCAAAGCACCATATAGGCAACATCAGAACAAAAGCAAAGCCATATGCAAACTGGTTTACGGGACTCGCTTTTCCCCACTTAAAATCAGTCATAATTTATTTCCGGGCTTATCGGATGACAACTCCAAAGAGGAATTCCAAATTGTTGAGAAACTTAGGAGGGCAATAAAGCCTCTTTAAAGTGAGTATTTTGTTTACCACAAAATGGAGCAATTGAAATTAATTGAAAATTACATGCTTAAAAGAAAGGAATTTTTTTTAATTTGTTAATTAATTATTTATAAATGTAAATATTTATTTAAAACATTTATTGAAAGGTATATTTTTAGAAGAATTTATTTCCCGAATGAGTTAACAAATTTTGTACTATTTTGTTTTTTGTTTAATTTATAAAAATTCCAAAAATTCTGAAAAATTCTAAAAAACTCTACAAAAATATGCTACAAAATTCTACAAAATTCTACAAAATTCTACAAAATTCTACAACATTCTACAAAATTCTACAAAATTTCTACAAATTTCTACAAAATTTAGGAGACATATTTATACAGATTATTATTCTTAGGATACTAAAATTAAATAAATTGGAGTCAGTCAAGGAACCCTTAAAAATTCTTCTTCTCTCCTATACTATTCCTTAACCATTAAATTATGAATTCCTCTTTTCGTTGCATTTCCCTGTCTGTTATTTTCAGAAAATTGCCATTTTAACTTTTGTCCTCTGCAGTGGCTGGGCATTAGGTAAGTGAAACACAGCAGTTTACGTTTCGGCGGTTCATGGCGCGACACTTGTAAGCCCTTTAATGAGAACCTGTCATCGGTGTATTTGCGGTCACAGTCGTTGCCGTTGTTGGGTGTCAGTTGTCGACTTGTCATGCTCTCAAAGTGCTCCCTGTTTTCCCACCCCCTCAACCCATTTCCCTTTCCGCTTTCCACTGTTTTCCACTTGCTACCATTTAGCGCCCTTTGAACCTTCGGAAGTCCCGCGATTATTTGCGTGTGTTTGTTTGGAGCAGTGTAAACATGACCACTAACTAATGAGCTGTTCCCACTGATACCCAGATCTTTTGGGGTTTAGAGGGGGAGAGGATACCAAAGATATATTGTAGTAGAGAGTCTTAAGGGGTTTAGGAATAATGAGAAATCATTATTTAAAATGTACAAACTGCATGGGGGATTAAAAAAAAATGTTATGCATTTATTTTAGAGCTTCAAAAACTGTAAATATAACAATTTTTAATAAGAAACAAACCCTTACTGCTTAATGTTCAGTTAGGGAAGGGAGCAACTCAAGCTCGTTTGCTCTTTAAACTCTTTCAACGTCTGCTTAACAAATGCAAATACATACGTCTTGAAGTGAGCGGGGAAATTGAGTGGGAACAGTGGGGGAAATGGCGCGGCGATGTCGAACATAAGTCAGGCCACACATACACTTAAAGCACACTTTGGGGCTGCTCTGCTCGCTGGCTCATTTGTCTTTGGCCGTGTTGCAATTGTTTCGTTACACAATCGCCAGTCTTTGCGGCAAATATTGTATTGGGGTCTTAGCCTTAAGCCGGCTGTAACTGTAACATATGCCATCAGGATGCGCTGGCGACAGGACACACACACACGTAGCCGTTTGCAAGACATGCTGAGGCTGCTAATTGAATCAGAAACCGCAGCATGAAATCAACTACAAGGCACAAACAACCGCAGCCCACGCGGCGTATACGCAATGTGAAATTGGAAAAGGGACTGGCTATATTTTAGAGCCTTGTGGAGTGTGTCTGTGTGAGTGGACAGCGAAAGGATTGACCAGATTGATAAATCCCCCCAGGACGACCGTCTGATGATGATGCCGTTGACAGCGAAAACGGGAAAAAGGAAATGAGAAATATACGAGGAAAATCGCTTCGATATGTGCGGCATAAAAAGCAAGGCATACATTTATGCGCTGCCTGAATAAATCATTCGCTTGCATTGACCCCCTCTCTTCCTTTGCCTCTCTCGTGTGTGTTTATTTTGGATTTCTGTGTCTCATTTTCCCCCCCTGAAAATCTCCCCAAAAAAACATACGAATATCTTGTCCTTAAGTAAACAAAACCAAAAGCCACGCACAGCGGAAGCGGAATGGCGCCTGCAATTATGTCTAATTTAATGAACTCTGTTTACCTCAGCTGCGGGTGGCACTGACAGCCGGCCATATGCCCAATATCCGCTATATATATATTCGTTTTATTGGATCAAAGTTCACCTTCGATGGAGCGGAAGCCAAAAAAACAAATTAAAGCCGACAAAAGCGAAACGAAACGATCACTCTTTTGCGAAAACCGACAACAAACTAGAATACCCCGAGTCTGCCGACGACTCGACCGTTCGCCACAGCAACCGGTTGGCAAGTGAAGTGCGTTTCCTAAATGGCGCAAAACGACGAAGCGAGGAAACGAGCCAGGAAGCCTCGTAACTTTGCAGGATTCAAAATATAGGCAAGCAGTGCGCTACTAATGCCGGACTGCTTGACACACTGCTTAGCAAAACTGTTATACAGGTCAACACTGAGCAAGATTTTTGATTTATGTTAATATTATAAAAATTAGTTTGTATACCTTTGCAGTTTTCAATATATTACATATTTTTATTTTTCGTTTGACTTTTTTCGCTAAATTTATCGATTGTTTCTCAATTCAGAAAGCTGTTCGGAAAACGAGGCTTTAATTTAGACATTTGCAGTAAAAATTCATCGACTTGGAAGAAGGATTAACTTTATTTTTCCCCATTTATTGTTAGAAAAAATTCTTTTCGCCATCTTTCGGAATTTTGCAGAGCCTTAACTATCCAGGTTTTAAACCAGCTAAGCAGGGCAAAGCATTTAAAATCAATTTAATTCATAATTCATTAATTTTTGGCCATTTTAAAATGCCTAATGTTACATCCAGTCAGACCAGAAAGCATAATCCCATGATCTATCCATCCCTTGGAATTTGTGAAATAATAGCAAAATATTTCTATAATAATATAGAAAAAAAAATTAAATTGCAAATGCACTGCTTTTAGCTTCTAATAAGCAGTGTGTCCGGGTATAACAGTCCACATTGCCGAGCATCACAAGCAGTGCGGTCAGTCATTTGAACCTTAAAGATTTCTGTTGAATTTTTGTTGTACTTTTTCTTTGTACACCCAAGTGCGATCGGGGGCTCAATTGCACGACGGCCCATATCTGGGGTGAACAACGGAGACACCAAACCCGAGACAGAGCTGCTGTTCTGGGTTATGTTTGCTTAGGTTCTTCTTTATGTTCCCTTCCCCGGCCAACTTACAATGGAAACGGAGGTCAAGCACGTATATATAATATAATTCCGATAGCCGGACGCCGTCTGTGGGCTTCCGAATATCCATTGTTGTGACGCTCGACGGATTTGGCCTTAGCTTCAGTATAAATACTTTGCCAAGGGCGCGAAGAAGTCATCAGTTGGATGCCGGAAATCATCATGTGGAGACTACTGGCCAGCCTTTGCCTGCTCCTGCCGGCCCTCGTGTCACCCCAGGATCACCCTAGCTACCCACGTCCCCCGATGTGGACCGAACATGGCTATAATGTCGGCCCTTGTGGTCCCAGGGTTTGTGGCAACAATGGGCACACTTATCGCGATTTTGAAAGCTTTTGCGCCCTCAACGATTACAATTTAAGGATGATTTTAAGCAGACAAAAAGGTAAAAAAATATATAAATAAAAATATAATCATCACAAATATATTTTTGATAATTTATCATTCATATTATTCGTGGCTTTGCAGAATTCAAGCTGACTGACACCATTTATTGCCACCCACCGCCACCTCCGCCTTCGCCCAGGCCCAGCAATGTGGGCTACTATTACAATAGCAACTACAGAAGCTTGCTGCTATCCCAGTCACCCCTTTCGACCTACTCCTCGTACCGTCCCAGGCCCTGTATTCATCCCGAGCACACTCCTTACATTGGACCCTACGGTGCTGTTCCGCCTCCAGAGCCTTATCAACAACCGGAGATTCCCAGCCTCGACTCAGTGCTGCCCTATCCGTTTTGGACCTTCCATCGACCTGCGCCGCCAACACGGCCGCCAGTTAGCTATCGGCAACCGTACTGGTATTATCCGACAAGAGGTCCGCCACCGACAATACGACCCTGCCATCCTGAAGATGCAAGGACGACCGCCAAGCCTTACGCCACAAGTAGGAGTACCACAACTTCTACCACGACAACTACTACTACTCCAGCTACTACGACAACGACAACTCCAGCTACTACGACAACTCCAGCTACTACAACAACGACAACAGAAGCCACTACAACAACATCAACGGAACCTTCTACATCAACATCCACAGAAGCTTCTACATCAACATCCACGGAATCTTCTACTTCAACATCCACAGAAGCAACTACATCATCATCCACAGAAACTTCTACAACAACATCCACAGAAGCAACTACATCAACATCCACAGAAACTTCTACAACAACATCAACGGAACCTTCTACATCAACATCCACAGAAGCTTCTACATCAACATCCACAGAAGCTTCTACATCAACATCCACAGAAGCAACTACATCAACATCCACCGAAACTTCTACAACAACATCAACGGAACCTTCCACATCAACATCCACAGAAGCTTCTACATCAACAGCCACTGAAGCTTCTACATCAACAACCACAGAAGCAACTACATCAACATCCACCGAAGCTTCTACCTCAACATCCACAGAAGCTTCCACTTCAACATCCACAGAGGCGTCTACATCAACATCCACAGAAGCTTTTACATCAACAACAACAGAAGCTTCTACATCAACATCCACAGAAGCTTCTACCTCAACATCCACAGAGGCTTCTACAACAACAACCACAGAAGCATCTACATCAACGTCCACAGAGGATTCTACATCAACATCTACTGAAGATTCTACATCAACATCCACTGAAGATTCTACATCGACATCCACGGAAGATTCTGCATCAACATCCACTGAAGATTCTGCATCAACATCCACTGAAGATTCAATATCAACATCCACGGAAGACTCTGCATCAACATCCACTGAAGATTCTATATCAACTTCCACGGAAGATTCTACATCAACATCCACAGAAGAGTCCACGTCAACATCCACAGAGGCATCTACATCTACATCAACATCCACAGAAGCTTCCACTTCAACATCCACCGAAGCTTCTACGTCAACTACCAGAGAAGCATCTACATCAACATCCACAGAAGCTTCCACTTCAACATCCACCGAATCTTCTACATCAACATCCACTGAAGCTTCGACAACAACCTCAACTTCAACCACAACAACCGAGGCTGTCACAACCACCGCTGCTGCTGCTGCTAGAGCTGCTGCCGCCCCTACTGCTACTGCTGTACGTCTTTAATTATGTTAATTATTTTCTAAAAATAATCAACACATATTCTTACAGGCCAATGCGGTTACGATTGAGGTCACAGATGCGAATGGCCAAATTCGGCGAATTGCGCTAGCCGGCGTGGTGACGGATACAGAAACGGGAGAGCCAAGCTGTTCGCCTGTGACCGATATTCTGGTGACCACTGGATCGACGGTTGTGCTCCAGTTCTCCGGCTGCATTCTGGAAGAGGGTTCCTTAAAGAGCACTAGGATTACAGCGAGCACTGCAGCTACCACAACTTCAGCCGCACCCAAAAACATGGATGGATATGGCACGAATAAGAGTCCGTACTATCAGTGGTACGGATCCTCCGTCCATGTCCTCCAATATTAACTGCCAAGACTACAATTCATAAAGCCTGATGTTTATAATATATTTTTTTATTAAATTTAGTTTTAACAGTTAACAGTTGCATATGTTGGAAATTTGGTCTAAAAATAAATTTACAAAAAAAAGATTATACAAAATATAAAAAAACTGGTGACCTATATGCGTCAAAGTCCAGAACTGCAATGAGTGCATCATAAGAAAAGTGCCAGTGCTAAATGGAAATTCTCCTCCTCCTAGTGTGAATCGAACACGTTTCGGTTAATAAAAATAAAAGTAAATAAGCAGGCAGCCGAGAAGAGTTAGACAAATCGGAGTCTCTGGTATTATGTCATTAGAAACGTGATCTGTGATGCCACCAAGTGCTGCATCTAAACAGAATGGTATATTTATATACATTTAAGTTAAAATCAATATCAAGTTCAAGTTCAAATTGAAGCCACCCAAAAATATTGTATACCGATAAGCCACTGACTCAGGTTTTTCGAAGAATTGCAACTCGCAGACGATTTTCTCATGACTCAAGGTTAAGTCAAGCCACTGCGATATCAGCAATTCGTATATATATATATATATATAATATACATTTCATAATGAAGTGCAAGAAGCGGCGTCTGGGTCAGCAATTGATAGGAATTATGGGGCAATATTCACACCATAATATAACTATGATCCAAACAGGGGCCGCGACACGTACGCAAAATGTCAATGGTATGAGCACACCTCGGGAATAGGATCATGGCTAACTGTAATGCGGTATAAAAGCTGAACTGGATCGGGGTCAAGGCATAGTCGGTCTCGCATCGTTCTCAATATGACAGCCAGTCTTTCGCTCGGATTTGCATTCGCATTTGTGGTCGCAGTTCAGGGATGGGACTATGGATTGGATCATTACCAACCAGCGCCGTACTACCATGGTGAGCAAGGTCAGCAGTACGAGCTGTCGACGTGTCCTCCCTCGGGTCCTGAAGGACTCGTTTGTGCTGGAATCCCCGGCTCGGAACCCTTTACCTTTCCCAATGCCTGCGAGGTGGCTCGCTTTCGTGCTGTCACTGGCAAGGGTAAGTCATTACAAGTCCTTCGATCTAGTCCTTTCCGAAAGCTCATTCCCATTCGTTATCGCCGCAGACTGGCAGATCATCCACGAGGGCAGGTGCGACAACCTGGAAGTGTGCCCGGGTCACTGCCGGAATCAGTACAGTCCCGTCTGCGGCAAGTTCAAGGACGAGAGGCGCAACTTCAACAGCGAGTGCGAACTGCAGCTGGTCAAGTGCCGCACAGGAGACCGTGAGTATTTCACATGAATTTCTTAAATCAATAATATAAATAATAGAAAACTGGAGTAGATTTTTTGAAATTCAGTAACGTCGCGTGTAAAATGTAGCACGTTCTAGTCTAGTATTCATTCACTACAAAACAAACTATACTGTAAACCGATTAAGAACTGGAATGTTTTGAAATTTATACAAAAACCGAAGTTTAATGTTCTTTTCTTTTGCAGCATGGAGGAAGCAGCACGATGGTCCCTGCGAGAGCAGATATCCCGCTGGCCAATCGCTTCGCGTTCGTAACTACAATCCCTATGCATTTAATCCATACCCATCGCACCAGGGATACTCTGGATCGCTGGGTTCTTATGGATCTTATGGATCTCAGGGAACTTATGAACCTCAGAGATCTTATGAGTCTCAGGGAGCTTATGGATCTCAGGGAGCCTATGCATCACAGGGATCTTATGGTTCTCATAAAAGCTATCAAGGCCCATATGATTCTCAGAGATCTTTTGTACCCTATGGACCTTACAGTCCATTCGCAATCTCATCTCAATCTCAGCCATCATTTGTTTCACCTCCGCCTCCATACAAGGCTCCCGTTTACTATCCCTATGAGATAACCTGGGAAAACCTACCCACGGAATTGGGTGTTCATGGCAAATCGTATGAGAATCTGCCCACCGAGTACCCAGCACCGGGATCCAAGGCAGATTCCTATGAGAAAAAGCCCGCGGATTATGCTACAACCTCTAAGCCATATGAGAAGCCCGCCTATGAGAAGCCCGTCACATATGATAGCCCCACATCCGATAAGCCCACCTATGAGAAGCCCGCCTATGAGAAGCCCGTCACATATGATAGCCCCACATCCGATAAGCCCACCTATGAGAAGCCCACATACGAGAAGCCCGTCACATATGATAGCCCCACATCCGATAAGCCCGTCTATAACTCTACCTCAACGAGTACGACATCCACGACTTCCACGACTTCTACGACTTCCACTACAACCACTAGTACCACGGAGAAGACCACTACAGCTCCCACCACCACACCGCAACCAGACCCCGATGCCACCACTCAGGCCTCAGATCTTCGACAGAACATAAAGATCAATGCGGTGGTCGAGGCGCCAGTAAATAAATCCACTAATGAGTCCCTTACGACAGCTTCCCCGACCGAAGCTCCAGTTACCGTAAAGGCTGCTCCTTTGACAAAATACGCAACAACTGCCACTCCACAGCATGCAACAACTACGCCCAGGACGACATTTGAAAAAGTAATTAGGATAAATGCGGTGCAGGAGAAGAGTAATTCCACAACGATTCCAACTACAACAATTCCAACTACAACGATTCCAACTACAACGACTAAGTCACCAAAGATCTATCCAGCCTACGGTTATCAAACCAAAACTTCCTATAAATCCTCCCCCGTTTATACTACAACAGAACAGGTGACGGAGACCACGGAGCCATCTTTCGACAAACTCATCAAAATAAATGCAGTCAAGGACACAAATAATAGTACCACCGTAGAACCAACCACAGAAGAACCAACCACAGAAGGATCAAGCACCGAAGAATCAAGCACAGAAGAATCAAGCACCGAAGAGCCAACGACTTACAGTTCGTATCCTACGTCTTACAATTCCTATTCAAGCTATGAGAAACAATCTTCCTATAAGAGCTCCTATACTACTTATAATGCCCCGTCTACCTATAATAAGTCCACAGTATACACAACAACTGAGAAACCAAAGGTTACGGAAACAACCAAAGCTTCTCTCGAAAAAGTCATTAAAATAAATGCTGTCAAGGAGACAAATAATAGTACCACCGTAGAACCAACCACAGAAGAACCAACCACAGAAGAATCAAGCACCGAAGAATCAACGACTTATAATTCCTATCCTACGTCCTATAAGGCCTATAATACCTATTCGAGCTATCCCACTTATAAAGCCCCGTCTTCCTATAAAACAACAACAACTGAGAGTCCAAAGGTCACAGAGACAACCCAGCCAGCTTTCGAGAAAATCATTAAAATAAATGCGGCTGAAGAGGATAAACCAAAAGAACCGACAACTTCCACTGAAGGACCAACGACAACTTCCACTGAAGAACCAACGACAACTTCCACCGAGGAACCCACAACAACCTCAACTGAAGAGCCAACGACTTACTACCCTTCGTATCCAACCTATCAGGCTCCATCTACCAATGGAACCTATACAGCCTATCAGGAATCATCTTACAACAGTAGCTCGGCAGGTTACAAATCGCAGGATACTTATGAGGAAAAGAAACCAACCTACCCAGTCTATACCGGGGATTCCCCTGTCATCGTAAAAACAATCAATGGCAGTACATATACGAAGATGTATGTGGAGGTACCCGGGAAAACGGGAGCCAAAAAGTTCAGCCTGGAGACCTCCTCCGGCGACAGCAAGAGTCAACTGCAGCAAGTCTACTTCTTGACCTTCAACTAAGCCCCAATAGTTATTGTTTGTTGTTTTTGATTTAAATTTTAATTTAATATTGTACATAAGATCGAAATAATAGCAAATGTTGTATCTAAAACTTGTAAGTGTTGTATAAACGTAAATGTATATTATGGAAAGTGTAAGAGTTTAAAGAACAAAATAGATTATTGTTGCTTTTGAAATTCCCTTGACTTAAAGTATGGCGGCGATTGTGCTTGTGGTCAGCATGTAGCGCTGCTTAGTGGAGTCGTTGATGCTGACAGCCAAGTTGTATAGATTAATGTCTTTGATCATCGAATGTGTTCCAATGTGGTGGGCCAGTTTCAAGGGCGGCATTACCCTTACCTTCCTGAAACGACGCTGTCTCGCACGCATTGCCACATCCATTCTCTCCTTGCGACGGCGATGCAATTCAATCAGGATCTTCATGTTCCTCTCAAAGCGCTCCATAGCCCTCTTTACCTTCGCGGTCACGTACTTCAAGGCCCATGTGACACTGGGGCTCATCAGGACGTACAAACCATTATCATCCTTCTGGAAGGGTACCTTCAAAATCTCGGTAAAGTTGATGGCGCCGTTGGTCTCCGCCAGGGACTCGTTCGCCATGCATTTGGGGTCCCGAGTGGCCCAGACCCCGGCGCATAGAAAGCACATAATGATGAGCTGCGGTCAAGTTCACATAAAGATTGCAGCTGATAAAGGCTAGTGATTGTACTTACCATTAAAATTGGAGCCTTCATTTTTCACAGTCTCTTTTCTTTTTATTTTATAATTTTTTTATTTGTTCTTATTTGCTGCCGACAAGACAACAGTTATCAAGAAGAAAATTGAAAACTGAAAAACTGTCAAGAGCCAGCCAAGACCTACTTTTCTAATGGGAAAAAGCTGACCTTCCAAAAAGGCAGGCAACTCTGACGATGACTCTTTTTTAATATAATTTTCTAAATTATTTAGAACATGTTGTCAATTTACACCCTTAGAGTACGCTTAAATTTAGTTTTAAACTTCTTTATAAATAAGTGCCTTACCTTTTTCTTAAACATATAAATTTTGCCCAAAATTTTATTTTACAAACTTCGCCGTGCCGAAGTTAGCTCTCTTTCTCTGGTTTAAATCATAATCTTAAATTCGTTTATTTAATTTCATAATTTAAGTTTAATCCTTAACCCTAATACTATACATTTATTTCAATTTTAAACCCCTTAGCATACATAGGAGTCATCCAATGTAGAATGATTTCAAAACATTTAGCAAGATCGATGGCCAAATTTCTTGCCGTGCACCAATTGCAGTGGCTCGATTCTTTTTCCCGATCACGTAGCGCGTGCCATTGACAGCAGCCATTACTTCCTAGTTCCGTTCCCAGTTCCCTTTCCGCACCACTTACCAAAACACCTTACTGCCCCGCCGCCCACCGGAAGGGGTTATCTCTCTCTCTATCTGCCTCTCTCTCTCTCTCTCTCTCTCTCTCTCAGCTTTGGGAAGTTTCGATTCCCGCGGTTCTGCGAAATGTTATGAGACAGCTTCAAAACACACAGAAATAAACATTCTAGCGCGGTGACTGTTGGTCTGAGTAGGTGTGTTCGGCTCTCCCGATCTCTGACCTAGTTTATGCGTCCTGTTTGCTGTATTTTTGAATACGTAAATTAAATTTAAGAGCTACAGGAGAGTTGCCACAGCTCGCACTAAAGTAATAATTTCAGGGATTCTTTAATACTAAATCTAAGCTAACACAGCTTTCTCTCAGATATTAGTTTTCACAGACTCTTAAGCCAGCATTACTTTATGAAAATGAAGTCATGAGTTGGGCAACGCATAAGCGCTGGCTCAAAAGCTCTCCCACTCCCACTCGGTCGGCCTCTCTCCCTCTCGCTCTGGCTTTGTCTAACCGCCAACGCTTTTGAGCCGGCCAACATTCCAATATCGGGTTGGAATGGATCGGGTCTACGTCTAACCTTCAGGCAACTCGAGCCAAATATTGTCGCGCACACAGTCGGGCTTAGAATTTCCGGGGGAGACAATGATAGCTGGATACCCTTTAATTACCAAATATATAATATAACTTATATCATTAACTGTTATAGTTTTATTAGCTGCCTTGTTTATTTACTTAATTTTGGAAAAACAATTAATGAAATATTTTTTTTAAACTTCAGTGTAATGTAATTTTCCTATAATGTTGTTTTTTTTAATAGCTGCTAAAGCTAAACAATAATTTTAATCGAATTTTTTGCCTTTGGTAGTGTATTCCAAGTTCTTCCCATCTCGTGTTGTCCCGCTCTGCCACACTCATCGATGGCGCTCCATTGGGGCCGCGTTCGATTTGCCCGCTCTCATTTGGGGCTCTCTCTTCAGCTCTCTCGCTCTCTGTTTGCAAAGTCGGACTTGAATGAATTTAGCCCCAAGTGGCCAGCAGATGGACCGACCGCAAAATGGAAAATGCCGATAGCGAGAGCAATGGAGTGGAAGTGGAAGTGGGAGGGGGATAGTGGGGATAGCACAGGCGTAAGAGCGAGCGCGAGAGAACGGCTATTGCCAATTTGAGCTAAAGCAAAAAGCCAAAGCCAAAACCAAACAGAAACAACAGGCCCGAATGAATAACAAACGGCAAAAGGTATGCCAATACAGCAGGTAGATCAGTTGTGAATCTGGCAACAAACCATTTGGCTGGGGCTGCTGCTCCAAAACAAAAATTACAAAAAACACAAACAAAACGCGCTTCGTCCTCTCTTCGAGTCCTCCTCCTCTCTCTATGCGGTGCGGTCCAGATGCTTGTGTGAGTGGCTGTGTGCATATTGCATTGTGTTTATTGTTTTTGTGGTTTTACGGGAGAACAACATCGGAAATATCCAATCCGCCCGTGGTGGTGTCAAATCAAAGTCCGCCAATCACCGCAGCAATCGTTTATCGATAATACCAATACAAAAGGACACCTGCACGCGCTCCAATTTTCAAGGATACGATATTCACGTTCGATAACAACAAAAGCGCGCGTTCCGGCTGCCTTTAAGCGGTCAATCTGGCGCCCTATTGGCCTTTTTTAAAACATCTGTTTGCCCAGCTGCCCATGTGTATTTATTTGTTGGCTAATTGGTCAACTCCCCACCTTCCCCCACCGCTACCCACACATCACTCCATCTCCCTTACTCTTCGATCTCTCGAGCTTGGCCTGTTTGTTTTTGTTATTTTTAGTGTGTTTTTGTTTTTGTTTGTGGCGATTTTTTAATGTTTTTGTTAAGTGATCTTCGGTGATGACCAGTGTTAAGTGCCCCCGAAAAAACAGATCATTTTGAAAATCGACTTTTGAATGGATTCTTAACAGCTTTCTATGGCAAAAATGCGATGACATTCAATTAGTCAAAATAAAAATATGCTTCTTGTTATTTTAATGGAAAGATTTAAAGTTTCCTAAAAAAAATATATGTTTTAAGATAAATTCACTTAAAATTATATTTGATTTATAAAAAATGCAGTAAAAAATGAACTAAAACTTGAAAAGGAAAAAGGTTTAAGGTGTTTTTATGCAATAAACCGATCGATTTATATCTATATTTTAAATTACAAATTTAAATACAACATTCCAAGACGATATTGTATAAAGAAAGTTATGATTTATGATCAAATCAGTTAAACAAAATCCCTGTAAGCCATTCCTCTTTTTTTCTGTGTGCCCAAGTGACCTTGCGTGGCATCCTCATCGCGAGTTAAGATCAAAGTAGAACACATCCGTATAAGTGTGAGTACGTGATAAAGTTTATACGATTTATATGCATATATAGGCAACGTACGTGGGCTGGACAAATCTGAACGAATCAGAATCGAATACAGCGAATCGATTCAAATGGAATGCAATCGAATCAAGTCGAATCCAACGACTTAAAGCAGACCGATGACGATGGTTCTGTTAGCCCTGTTTAGCAAGTAATCACAGTATATAGTATCTAAATAGATTTCCTTATCTCAAAATATGCTTAGGAAAAGCACTTGACATGGTAATGAAACTGACAATTATCATACCAGAAACTTGTAAAGTATTTCAAAGTAAACTATCACAGATCCTTAAAAAATTTAACATAAAATAATACGTTTTTCAAATGAAACATAATTTGTTACATTATTTAGATTCCTAATCCTTTCCTTCAGTTAACTCCATGATGATTTATATATATTTTTAAGTAGTTCATTCACAAATCATTGCCATCCGCCAGAGCTAATCGATTTACCAAATAATTAATAGATTTCTTATGAGAGAGAGCTAACAAATTTAGCAATTAATACGCGTTTATTAGCTTGCCAATTGATTCATTCACCTATCCACCGCCTATCTATCAGTTTTACTCAATGAAATCGAATCGAGTTCACTTCATTCAAGGAGAGGATCGTGTTAGGAATGTTGCACTGTGGTTACAAACACGACAAACCGACAAACTTCCAATACAGAGGCAAAGCCAGCGAATCTCAGACCGACTTCGAGCCAAGCTCAGACAGATCATGGTTCTATAATGTGTACGGGGAATATACTAACAATATTACTGGCTTTGGGACCGTGTGGGCCGAAGAAAGAAAGAAAACAGCAACAAGAATAAGTTGAGTTAAGTTAAAGTCGCGCAAATAACTCGCTCATTTCGTCATTTTGAGCAGCTATCAATATTTGATATATGTCCAAATACACAGGCATACAAACGACAGGTATGTTTATGTGTAATATGTACGTATGCAAATTGATTTCAAGATCCTACACTTGAGGAAATAAATGTTGAAAGATGTAAATGTTGTAGGTAAATTTTTTTTTTTTTACATAAAATTAGAGGGGAACAATTTTGATTGAATATATTAAATATATATAATTGAGTTTCATTTGATGTAATCAGTTTTTTTAGCAGTATAAGCTTTCCTATAAATTAAATTGTTGTTGTATTTAAAAAACTTAATTATTTAAATATATAAATCCTTATAAAATTGTAATTTTCCAATAATTATATTAAAAAATACTCATTTTAAATTTATACATATAAAAATTTGATCATATTATAATTACAACTTTATGTTTTACATCTTTAATCAATAAAAAACAAGCAAAGTTATTTTTCTCGGTGTCTTTAGATGATTTGCCTTGACGGCCATCGTTGAGCATCGTAAAAATCCTCCGATTTCGTAGATCTGTTGACTCCAAAACCCCGTTTTCTGTGTCAACAATATTATTGTGTTTAAATCTGTCCGTTTCTGTTTCGGTTTTTTATCTTTTTTTTTTTTTTTTTTTTTTTGTAATTTTACGTATATTTTGTGCGGTTTTTGTTTGTTTCGAGAACGCTTGAGTTGAACGTTTCATTAACAGGCGGGGGCGGGCTGCCCCGCGAAGGCGTTCCAAATGCTTCGGCCATCGGGGCTCGAATGCCAAAAACGAAAACTAAAACTCATTTTGACCAAATGCGTTCGAAACTATGCGGCAACAGCGAGTGGGCCAGTTCAAAGTTGTTCGCTTGTTGGCCTGTTCGAGAGCAGCAATTATCCAAATGAGAAGCTGGCTAAAAAGCTAAAGATCGGCGAATGCACGGGGAATCGGAGATCGCTGATCGGAGAAGTGGAGGAGAACTCTAAAACCAAGCCAAGAAAACTGAAAGAGTAACGGAAAGTTATTGGTCTTTATTATGGGGATTATCCTTTAGCCAAGATATTTTTAGACAAACCTCGTAAAAAACAATTATGAGAGCCTTTTAAAAGTTTTGAAATTTCTGAAATTTGTATGTTTAAATGGTAGTTGCATAAAACTTTAAATGACACATATCTCAGAAGAGTCGGATTTTATTTATTTGTAACAATTCATCTTAAAATTCCAACGAAGTTAGTAAACATTTAACTGCCTTCAATAATTTGTAAAGTTAATCTAAAGCAAATTAAAACTTTTAAGAAAAACCCTTGGGTTACAACCATTAAAAACGACAAATAGAAATAACAAGTTCACAAGTAAATATGAAAAATGCCTCAATAATAAACCATTTAACACAAGTTTGTTGTGTGGAGATCGATCTTAGCCTTACTTACTCAACTTTTCCCTTGAATTAATTATAGATCAAACAATAAACGAGTCGATAAATTCATTTTCAGCAAGATTATATAAACTGACACGTTTTTTTTTTAAGTTAAAATCAAATGAGGTAAATAACAAATTTTGCAGGCCTTCTTTTAGGCGAAACTAGAAATCCTCAAATGCGGTTCCAAACACGACTAAGCCGAGACCCCAATCAAAAAATTTTTATTTAAAACAAAAAAAAAAGCTTAACAAGTGAAGAAATGTTCAAGTTTTTGGGAAAATTTTGTTTAATTATTATTTAAAGTATTTTTATAATTTATTACACATTTTTTAAGTATATATTAGTGATTTTTATATACTTATATATTCTAAATCTCTTTTTATCGCCACGCAGAATTTAAAGAAAACACTGTAAGGAAAACTCATTTATTTCAACAATATATTTGAATATATTTATGTGGAAAATCTAAACAAAAATAAAATAAGGAAAAGCCCCCTGCAGCGGCCATGGCTCTAAGCAAAACTATCAAATCAAAAGCTGGCGCCAAAGACGAGCAAAGCGAACTGGTGAGTCTTAACCCCTTATACACTTGCCCCCCCACAACCCCACTGCACACCATACACACACACATCTACATACACAAGCCACTCACAAGTACATTGCTCGCCAGTGCTGATCTTAATTTTATATAGGAAAACTATTATAAAATATTTGATAATTTGAAAAATCGAAGAAAAAGTTTTTTACTTATTTTTTGGGGAAAATCCAAATTTAAAATATATGTAACTCAGCCAAAAAAGCGTTTTTGTCTTAGTTTTTATACGGTTAAAAAATGTGCATACTCAATTTTAACCCCTTATCAAAATTCAAGTTTCTGCCTTGCATGTCTAGATCGACATGACTGTTGATTCTGATCACGAATATATGGGACTTATAGGATCGAAAATGACTTAAATAATGCTTTACTAGTTTGTGACTGAAAGTATAATACCCTAAAAGGGGTATAAAAACTACAAAAATATTGAAACATTGTCTTAAAGAATACAATATTTGTAAATTATAGAAAAAGTATGGAAATTTACATTTCTTATTATTGTAAAAAATCTATTAAAATATATTTATATATATATTTGAGAACATTTAACCCAACAAAAGCCATGGAATTTGGCAGCACTGAGCGTGGCACTCATATACCCATATACCCATATACCCATATACTCACCTGAAAACGTACTCACATTCGGGCCAAGATAATCGCGTAAGATGGCTCAGGTAAAGCTCGCCGTTGCGGGCAAAAACAATGAATGGTCGGCAGCGATGTTGACGTCGACGGCGGCAGAAACAACAAAAACAGAGGGGGTAAAAAAATAAGCGCTTTCAGCTCAGGTGTAACAAACTAACGGTGCAGCTCAGCTCAGCCCAGCAGTCGCAGACGCGCCATCGAACACACCGCTCGCGGATCGCGCGCGCTCTCTTTCGGTTGTCGGCTTTCCGTTTTAACAGCTTTTCAGTTTTTCCGTTCTTTTTTTGTTGTCGCAGTTTTTCCCAGCTTCGCGCAGTTTTCCCTCGTTTTTCCGTCGTCGGTTTCCATTTCGTTTGGCGCTTCATTTAATACGACCGCTTAAATGAAAACAAAACCCCCGAAATTAAATATTGCAACGAATTAAATCGTTCGTTTTTTTTTATGTTTTTAATTTGAATTAGTTTTTTTACTTTTTGCGCGCGTTGCACTTGATACGTTCATTTTTTTCGCGTGGTTTTTTTCGCTAATTGCCTGAATGGCAAAGGCAAAGTGCAAAGTGTGACAGTGCAAGAGATTGAGAGCGAGAGTGAGAGGGAGCGAGGGTAGAGAAGGGTAAATACACTTAGCGAAAATCGAGTTTTATTATGGGGTTAATTTTATGATGAATATAATAGCAGACTGCAGTTTTTAGAGAAGTTTTATGTGGGTTTTTAATGTCCTTATTTGACATGATTATTAAATTATTAAAAATTTAAATATTTTAACAATTGTTTATTTTAAAATTGAAATAAATATTAGATAATAAATATTAATAGAAAATTATAAGCATTTTTATTGAATTATTAAACAACAATGTGTCCTAGAAAAAGCCTGTGTTTTGAATGTAGAAATTGATGTGAATATTTAATTTAGGTTTAAATGTATATATTAAAAATATGTTTTTCTGTTTCAAAAATCAGTTGATTTCAAAATAAATTAATGGTTAAAATTTTAGGCATATATAATAGGGCTTTAAATTTGACTTAAGCTTGTGATTTCTTAACTTGGCAAATAATAAACTGATTCTGGCCTTCACTTATCAAGAACTGGAGTTCCTTTTAGTTCAATATTTAGTTAATTCCTTTATTTCATTATTTAATAAATTCATATAATTTTCAATATTTAATTAATTCATTTAAATTAAAGGCCTGCCTAAGAACTGACTACTGGCTGTACTATATATTTCTTCTTCTGTGCAAAATTGGAGTTATAAATGCTTGAAATATATCTATTTTTATACATATATGTATGTACATATATATAGATATTTATGCGACCCATTCCCGTTGCCAGATCGTTGCGAATACGTGCAAAAAATTAATCATTAACTCTGGGGGCCTTTTTTTTCCACTCCACTCCGATCTTTTCTTCAAAGTTCGCCCCGAGTCTCTCGTAGCGTATCTGTTTTCTTCTCTACTTTTTATTGCTACATTCGTTGTCGTGACATTTGTTGTTGTTGTTAATGTTGTTGCTGTTGTTATTGTTGTTTTCTGCATATTTGTTTTGTGTGCAATTTAAGTTTTGTACCTTGCATTTGTTGCTATTTTGTTTGATCTTCGTGGTCGTCGTCGTCGTCGTCGTGTTGCTTCATCCGCACACATAAACCCACATTGGGCATCACGTCGCGTATACGCAATGTTGGCCCAGCAAATTAGTTCTACCATTGACGCAATATTTATTGCAATTTCCCCATCCGCCCCTGCAAGTTGGAAAACTCGCAACTCCCCCGGCATTTTGGACAGGCCACGAAAATATTTTCCCACCATTAAGAGGCCCCCAAAAGTCCGAGAGATCAGGCAATATAACAACAAGGCCTGAGAAACACTCACATATAGCACAAATCATAGACTGCACACAAAGTGTGTGTTTTTGGGCATTGCTGTGCACTGTGAAAAATTAGGGGGTGATTAAGAAAAGATTATAAATTAATTATTTAATTATTTAATAATTAATTTCATTAAGAAACTATAAAGTAAATGGTTAAAATGGTGTTGTATAGTAAAAAATATAAATAGTATTGCTTTAAAGGAAAATTATTGAGATTTAATAGATATCATAGGGAAATCTTTTGAAAAATTTAATTGAAATATAATATAACAATAACTCTTTTTAGTTTTTATTTTCTGCTTAAATAATACACCACTTTAATGGAATTTCTTGCATATAACAATAATAATAATAATAATATTTAATATTTCAAAAAAAGCTAGAAAGTTAAGGCTAAAATTGTGATATAAAGTAAAAAGAAAATATTACTTTTAAGGGAAATTAATGAAAGTTAATATATATTTTAGAGAAACTCTCAACAAAAAAATGTAAATAAAATATTTTAGATTACAAGGACAGGTTTTTATTAATTAGCAGTTTTTTAGGATTTCTTCATCAAAGATAAATATATTTATTTCTCTCAGTGCCTGCAGGAGTGAGGGGTTTTCTTTAGCAGCAGCAGCAGCACCCACAACTAATGCAGTTGTTGTTGCTATTTAGCTGGCATTATTATTATTATTATTATTTTTATTATTGTTATTAATATTGTTACTAGTGCTGCGGTTATGTGTGGCTGCCTTTTTGGAAAAAAAGAGTTTTGTTGTTCGCTGTTTATTGTTGTCTTTAACTTGTGTCCAACTTGTTTGCTCTGCCGCTGTGCCTCTGTGTTTGTTGCGGGTGAACTATTTAAGATTTTCCTTCGTTTTTTTTTCCTCTTCTAAATGGAAAACCTCTTTTTTTGGCCCGTCTCGCGCGCTTTTTTTGGACAGCGGCCACAATTCAATGTCTTTGTATGGCCAAAAGGCGTGAATTAAATGCAACTACAACATGCCACTGCCACTGAACGTGGCGGGGGTATGTTATAGGCGGGAAGGGGATTTTTTTTTTTTTTTTTTTGGGGAGGGGATTGGCTGGGAGTTGTTTTGGGTATCCATTCGTCGGCGTCGCTGACCAAGTGCGTGACTTGTGGGCTCGGCTCGGCCCCACTGCAACTTTGTGGAAAGACTCCATGTGAAGGAATACACTGGGGAAAAATCGTTTTTACAAAATATAATAATATAAATGATAATTTCTTAAAATTCAAAATTAAACCGTGTAGGTTTTATATGTATTTATTAAGTACTATCATGGAAAATATCATTATATCGATATTACATTTTCTTTTACCTTTTGCTTTGCTTTTAGATATTTGCTTACAAATTCCTACTCTATTTATATATAATTTTTCACCTGCCCTATTTTCTCGCTGTGCATGGCTGCCGTTTGCTTTTGGGTCAAGTAAAAGGCATTTCGATTGCATTAGGAATTGTCAAAGTTTGCCACAAAAAGCTTAGCCAGCTCCAATAGCCGGCTAACTGAAAATTCAAGTTAGATTTTTCCAAGGGGGGGTGGTGACTCACATAATTTTTTTACTTTGAGCGTAACCACCCCACTCCCTACCCTCTACTTCTATGTGTTCAACAACAAAAGAGGAGGCATTGCCTTAAGAAGAGCCACAAAGTCAGAAGCTTCTCTTTACAAATATAATTCTTTTACCTTTTTCTGGCTGTGGCTTCTGCCAATACCTTTTACAAACACAAAACATCGAATTTGACCGGAAGCAATTACAAAAATGGCCAAATTGCAGTCACAATTAATTCTGATTGTTGTCTTTTTCTCTGTTGTTGTTGTGGCGGTCTGACGTCAGTTCGTCAGACAGTCCAAAAATCGATTGCTAAAAACCGAAAATAGCAAAAACCGGCAGCAACACACACAACACACCCAATGGAGATTTATTGTCCGAATGCCTAATTATTGATTCAAGAATCGTTTTCCCGCTGGTGACTGGTTAATGGGGGAAGAGTTGGGTCTTTGGTCTGAGAGAGGAAGCCTCTGAAAGTTGGCATTTGTGCGGTTAGAACAGTAAACAATTGAGGCTAAAAATCAAGATAAAGGTTATCAAATTACAAATTTAACCTGAAAATGTATAGTTAAAAAGTATTTTTATGAAACGAAAACATGCTTAAATCAAGTTAGTTCCTTTATTTTATTTTCTATCTAGTATTCACCAAGCTCTACATTTATTTATATATATTTTTTCATAAGTAAGGTTTTTGTTTCGAATTTTCCCTTATAGAAAAGCCGGGTTCAGGGTTCAAACCCGAAAAAGGCCTTTACCGCTGGGTCCACTGATCATCTGACCTTTGGCCGCTTGTTTTTTTTCTAAGCCCAGTTTGTGTCTGAGTTTGGAGTTTGAGAGCTTTTGTTTGTTTTCGAATTTCCATTGCCCTTTTTTGTGGTTTATTTTCCACGAAAAATTAAGCCACGACCAGGAGAGGCCAGTGGGTGGGCGTCTGCGTCAGGGCGGGATTTACCAAGTCCACAAACGTATAAAACAACACACAGTCTGATCCATTTATGGCCCTCGGCCGGGGCTTTCGGCTTAATGAGCTTTGCAGAGAACCGTTCTGGGCTTAACGCTTCGCGGATTTAACGCCCACAAAGAAGGGCGGGTAGTTGCCATCATTAAACTTTAAATTATGCACAAAATTTTGAACAGAACTTTATAAAAAAATAAAGAAGAAACAGATTTACTAAATATTAAAAATATAAAAAATAAATTTTAATTTGGAAATTCAATACCTTTCTTAGACTTCAGTTGGTTGTATTAGTTATCATTGGCGCTCTCAATCTCTTATGGTTTTGTCACTCAATTCGGGTTGGTTTCTTGGCCTAGAATCTGGTTGTGATCCTCGCAAGCTGGAGCCGTGAATCGCGCTCTGCGATGTGGTGCGAGCTCTGGTATTGCCGCCGAGCCACACCACAAAAGGGAGCTGGAAAGGAGACTGAGACAAGGATTGCAAGTGGAACTAAAACTAAAACTGGAAGGAGAAGTCGGACTGGGACTGGAACTGGGACTGGGATTGGGATTGGGACTGGCGGACAGAAAGCAAATGTAGTCGGCAGTTAGAGCAGGAGCCACCGTTGCCACCGTTGCCACCGCCAGATGAGCCAGATGATCGAATGGTGGTGATCCTCCTACTGTCGCCATGCACATGCAGCCGCAGCAGCAGCAGCAGCCACGCCGCCCACCTCCTCGATCCCATCCATCAGCAGCAGCATCAGCAGCAGCAGCATCACGTCCTTGTCCCAGCACCCGCACCGTCCAAATCCGGTGATTCGCCCAGCAGCAATGAGTCCTCATCGGCATCTACCGGCGACACAGCCATTCCGGCTGGATACCTGCAGCTGCACCAACAGAAGCAACAGGAGCAGCAGCAGCTCCTACGAAATCATCCCAATAATTCCCACCAGCCTAGTCATAGTCATAGCCCAGCATTATTACTGCCCGCCGGCAGGTGGCTACCGTTGCCCTTGCCGCTGCCCCTCCCCCTGCTCCAGCCGGCGAATCCAGTGCCCAAGCCACCGCGCACCCATGGCATCCACTGGCATACATCGCCGTATCCCGTTTATGCCGATTATCCTACCTATCAGCCGCATCCTGTCGCCTCCGATCTACCGCCGCCCCCGCCGCCGCCGCCACCGGCAATCGTCTTTCGCGTGCAATCATCACTGCCCAACGGGGGCTTCACCAATGCCACCACCACCACAACCACCACCACTGACTACGTACGTCACGTGACCCGCGTTAACTTTTACGACATTACTTCGCAGGTCGAATTCGAGCCCAAAGATGATGAGGAGAGCAACGAGGCCACGGCAAGCAATTGCGATACAGAAGCTATTACCAAAGAAGGTGAGTGACTGTTAGCTAACCGCTGGTTAGCTCTGATCTTTAAAGAAACCTTAGCTTAGGTAAGTTGGCTATCCTGTGGGCAAGCCTTTCCAGTAGAACTAAACTCACAGTTAGGATGAAAGATATTATTAGTTATGAGTTAGATTAAGTTAACCGCTGGTTAGTCCTTATCAATAGAATAAGTTCTCAGTTAAGAACAAGATAAGTCCTTAACATAAACAAAATTACTGGTTATGTTTCTAACCTTTACCTTTACGTTAAATGGAAAAATCAGTATAACCCCTGGTTAATATCTAAAATTTAATATTCTCCTTGAAGCATCTATACTTATCAAATAGCAAAAGTTTATAATAAAATATAACTTTAATCTTAACAATTGTTCTCAAGCTAAGAGATAATACTATTAGCAGTTCATTTGAAAACAACAGGTTTTCGATCAGTATTATAATTATCGTAGACAACGCCTAACGATCAGTGACGAAGTGGAAACGACAGATCTTGTCAAGACACTGCTGATCAATCGGAACATTCTCTCAGCTTGATTGCCCCTGCATTGATCGTGGGTGAGCCAAACGAGTGACATCATCATTGGCATCGGCATGTCCAAGCCTTCAAACATTGGCGAACAAATTGCCTCCAGCGTGAGATCACAGCCGAGATCTTGATGGATCGATATGCCAGTGGGGATCGACTGGCATTGTCACTCGATTACTCACTCGATTATCGATAGCTGATGGATCATTTGGCAGGCAATCGGTTGAAACGGAACCCATGGATTTTTACAATTAAGGCGAAATGAAGAGATCTTTGGGATAATCAAACGCAGGATAATCAAACGCAATCATTACAAAAATATATTTTTTTAGGGTTTAGTACGGCGAAATTGTGCATTCATATTACATTTTTCACAAATTACGCATACGACCCGTTACCGGATATCAAGCTTCAGATTATTTTTAAAAATTTCTTTCTTAAAAAAACATTGAATATGTTTCTGTCTTCACTACAATTAATCATAAAATAATACATTTTGTTGAGCTTACGAACAACTACATTTTCCTACATTACGCATACGACCCGGTGATCCCAGCAGAATGTTGGATAATAGAGTTTTTTTTAATTTTTTTTATTATATATAATCTATACCTCTAAATTGAACATGTTCACGTCTTAAAATCACCAAAAAGATGTATTTTTAAGGCCTTTATGGCGAAGAATTGCCCATCCTGTGAATATGTGCGCACATTACCCATACGACCTGGTGCTTGTTAATGGATTTTAAGCTTCAGATGTTTTTTAAAATTTTAAAAATTTGAATTCTTTTAATTTTATCACTTTACCTACATATAATAATCCAAAATATATATTCTTTTTGGGCTTAAGGACAACTAATTGTTTCTAAATTACGTATACGTTGCAGCAGGAAGTTAGGTTATAGGGATTTAATTTTTTTTAATTAATTTTTATATTATATATTTATGTACATATACCTCTAAACATCACCAAAGAGATATATTTTTAAGGAAGAATTTATGAGGAAGAATTGCCCATCCTATGTACATGTTCGCACATTACGCATACGACCCGGTGGCCCGGCGAAGATGAGAAATGAAAGTGAGCTGGGAACGGATTCCATTTCCATTTCCATATTCATAATTCATAGTTCAGCTGTTGCTGCTGCTAATCCTCCTCCAGCTCTCCCAGCCTTGCCAATTATATACAGTTTTATTTATACTTACATGCTTGCCATACAACTGCATCTTGCGGAAATCATAGAAAGTTTTGATTTAATTATGTGATTAACATAACACAAAGGCGCCACAGCTAGCAACAGGCAACTTGCAACTTGCAACAATAAGTCGATTACTACTTGCTGCAATCTGAAAAATGTATGCACAGCGCAGCAGTAAAAAACGTGTAAAAATTAGAAATAACAAGCTACCAAACGGCAAACAGCAAAATGCAAAATGCAAATGCATGGAAAAAAAGGCAAGCGAAAAGCACAAAATGATCCAAGGAAAATGTGCACAGATTTCCCACGTTAGCGAATCATTAAAAATCAACTCGCGACGCGACTTGACAAGCCATATGCAAAAAATTCCCCCCGAAGGGGTTGTCCATGGGGCGGCGGAAAAGCAGCGGGAAAATTATAATAATTGGTGCACCACCTAGCGACACCACCTAGGCTGACACTCTGCCCCGCTGGAGGAAGAAACATAAGATGTATAAACCATATACAAAATATATATATATATATATATATTACAGACATTGGAAATACTTATTATTATTATGAGAATGGGCTTTATTTTTTTCTTTTTCTAGTGATAATTGCTGAAATAAATATAAAAAACTTAAAGCTCAGCATTATTTACCATTCAACAAATATTAACACTTGGCATTTAAATACACGCAAGGCCGTATTAATTGTGAGAACTTTACAAGTCCATGAATTGGTTATAACACATAAATAGTTGAAAAACATTTACTGATTTTTGGGGTTTAAATAAAAGTTAAATAATAGGAAAATTTAAGAGAAAATGAGGCTGGATACTGAAGGTTAAAGAAAAGGTTTTTATGGGGTAAAAACTTGTTGCATATTACAGTTTTAAATTCTTCAAAGAAATTCTTAAAATATATATGTACATAATTAGTTCTTTGAGTTTATTAATGCTAAAAATATATTGCTTTTTGACCTTCAAAAATATATTTCAAGTATTTAATTTATTAAAAAATTTTAAATATTCGTTAAAGTTTGATTATATTTTCGGCTGTGCGGTTTTTCTTTTGGTGTTTTTTCCATTATTTTCTTTTTTTTTGTTGAGGGGTGTGGCAAGTGACAAGTGGCTGGGGGCCACTAAATAACAAGGCGGGAGATGGAAATCGATGACAGGGGGGAAATCAATTGACGGGCCATAATCGATACCACAATTAGTTCAAGTGCCGATCGGAGCCAAAGATGTAATGCAATATAGTAGTATCTGGGCAAAGCTGTGGAAAGACCTGCTGGAAAATGCTGGCAAACAGATCGAAGGAAACCAAAGGAAACCGTATGGAAATCGAATGGAAATCACAAAAGATGTTGGCAAGAAATCAAGTCAGAAATTGAGGCTTGTTAAGTGGGCGTGGCCAGGTAACATAAATTCACATTAGCGTCGTCGCAATCGATTGGATCGGTTTCGGTTTCGGTTTCGTATCGAACAATTGCACCCGCCAATATACTTATAGCCCAACCTGCTCCCTTTATGCTTTTCCACTTGGCCATTTTCAGCAGGTTTTTTCGCTTCAGTTTTCCTTCGTTTCGTTTGCTTAATTGTGATTGTTGTTGTCGATGTTGTTGCCCATTTATGAAGTGGTTGTTGGTTGGTTGGTTGGTTGGTTGGTTGGTTGGTTGACTGCCCTGATGCAAGGGAACCCCACCGGCAGCAGCAGCAGGGGGGGAAAAATGCTGAGGGGGGGAGGAAAAAGGGTACCAGCAGTTGCAACAATGCGGATATCTATGTATATATGTATATGTGTGTCTAGTATGAGCCAATGATAAAGATAAACAGTCTGGTCAGGCAAATATATATAGTCGAACAATAGACGGAGAGGCCTTGTCACAGGGCAGCCTCCATTATAACGAACTAGGCAACAACTTTTAAATAAAATATTTAAGTTAATGAATTCTGAATTCAAGTGTCAGTAAGCCAACTTTAAAAAACTGGAATTGAATCATCTATTTTGATGAAATTTCCCACCGCATTAGCTTCTTCTATATTAGCCAATCCTTACTGTAGTTCGATCGACTGCCCAGCGGACTGCAATTGCAGTCTCGAATTCACTGCAAGCCGCGGATTTGGACTCAGATTCAGATTCAGACAGACGCCAGACAACGCGACGTCTCGTTTCTGTGCTTCGGTTTCGGTTTCTGGCGATGCCGCTGCAAATGCAGATATAGTCGCGATTATATAAGCGACCTTTAATGGTCCAGCGATCCCGATGCAGCCGCCGGAGCCGAGATTTCACAGATGGAGATGGAGAAAAGCCAAAAGACGCGGACATGGACGTGGACGTGGACATGGATGTGGACATGCAGATGGAGCTTGGGAGCAGGCCAGACACGGCGAGAAAAAAAACTAGGCTTAACTTCCACAAAAAAAATATATACATATTAAACCTAAAAATAAGTTGCAAAAAGTGGACTTTGCTCAAGTATACAATATGTATTTAATAATTTCTGATTACAGTTTTTTATTAATGTTATATATTTTTAATAATATATTAATTTAATATTTAAGTTGTTTTTTTATAATATAATTTTTTCTGACTAAACCCACAAAAATGTAGGCTTAACCTTAAATAACTACTCCCAGTTATTAAAATATCACTTTTCTTTATATAAGAAAAAAGTGGCAACTCTGAAACGGAATATAAGATCGTTAGAAAACCCTATTTTTTTTAGTATAAAAACAAGTCAAGTGGCATTACTGGCATTACCTAGGCTCCCAAATTAAAATTTTTACATTTGTTCTTACCACTTATTTGTTTATTAAGAGTTAGAAGACATTTATTATAACACTTTTCTTAAATATAGAATTTTTTTGTTGGGCTGGCATCACTGGCTAAGAGAGAGAGAGAGAGAAGAGTGTACAAAGTACAGTTAGCTTGGGAAGCGGAGCGACCAGACCAACTTGGACTTGGTTACGTAATTTGGCGCGATCGCTGGAGCGCTTCACGCCCCTCCAATGCTAACCAAGTCCCGAGTCCGAGTCCGAGTCGGAGTCTGAATCCGCGTCCGACTTCTTCTTTTGTTAGAAGCGGAGGAGCGGGACAGATTGGCTCTCGAAATGGGCATTAGCCACATGCAAATGAGGCAGGCATCTGTTGCAACATTGTCTTGGGCAGCAGAATGTTGGTGCCAAAAACTAAATGCATTCCATTGGCCAACATCTGTCCTGTCCGAAAAGTTTGGCAGCAAAAAAGCTCCCGGCAAAGAGCTTTGATTTTGGCCAAAACCCACAAGCAATTAACACGCAAGAGCTTGGCCAATTGTAGTCGCCTTTTGGGAGGCCATCAAAAAATATGGCCAAAAGCTGCCACTTCAAAACCAATCACTTATAAATTATATCATATATTTAGTTAATTTATTTAATATGTATTTGTTTTACTATATATATTTCAGAGGAGTGGATAACGAAGCGCAAGACAGAACTCACAACCACCAGACAGATCGAAACGAGGGTGAAACGGCAGGTGAAGCTGCAGGATGGCAAGGTCATCGAGGACTCGGGCCCCATTGTCTCCACCAACACCACCGAGGACACCGATAAGCAGGAGACAGAAACTACCGAGGTGAGTTTCTTAGATTAAATTTAAAATTAATTTATTAAATAAACAATTGTTATTAATGTATAAATAAATATATTTCATTTCATAACATAAAATTTACAATATATTTACGATAAATTAAGGGATAAACTCTTATCGCTTATAAATCGATTTAATCGATATTAAAAATCTAAGCGCTTTATTTATTTATTTTTTTTTTTTTTTAACTTTATCGGTAAAGCCGTATATTTCTTAGATCAATTTTTAAATTAATTTATTAAATAAGCATTTCTAATTAATACACAAAATAATGTAAATAATACAAATAAAAATAAATAAAATTTACAATATATTTACGTTAAATTAAGCCATAAACTTTTATTGCTAATGTATCGATTTCATCGATATCCAAAATCAAAACGATTTATTTAACTATATTTTTCAATATCAATATATATCTTGGTCCAAAAATGCTCTAAAAATATATTTCGCCCCCCAGAAACGTGACCTTGACCTGCCCGACGACCTTGATGGCAATGCCCAATTGATTGACGTGGCCGCCCTGCAAGCGGGCGCCGATAACGAAACGCAGTTGGCCCAAATCCAGGAGGTATTCGGACCCGCCGAAGGAGCTGGAAAGCTGGTCAAACGGATGGTTCCCAGGCCGACGGATGGTCTGGTGCGTCAGGTGGACGATAAGCGGGTAATCTCCCACGAGGAGATCAAGGACTACCACGAAACGGAGGATGTCAAGCACCTGGGTGACTTTACAGACCAGGTGAGTTTCTTATATATATATATACTTTTTAATAATTAAACAGTAAATCGGGTAATTTATCTCTTGGGTGGTATACAAATATTTTTTCAGTTTTTTCAAATTAAGAGAAACTTTAATTGTACACTCTCACTTTGAAGCTATATTTTAAGCAAGATCACGATTATTAAATACGCTTTATCGCACGATTTTTTTTATCAGTCTTAAACTTATTTTTATGGCTTTAATTATATTTCCGCCTTTTCGTTGCCAGCTATTCGTATCAAGTAAAGAGAAATGTTTTTTATTCCACATGTTTCTATTTCATTTTTTAAGGGGTTATTTTAAATATATAAATATAAATATTTTATATATATAAATAATTAATATAAAATAATTTAGTATATCTAAGCACATTATTTAACTAGTAACACGATTGCCTGAAAGGGGAAAAAACTTTAATTTGCTCACAATTTTCTGATGATGGGCTTAACCTCCAGTTGGTTGCTCCCTCTCCTACTCCCACTCCCACTCCCTATCCCCCACTGGGCCACAACATTATTCATCTTCAGTCGAGGCTTTATGTTCATCTCCATAGCCATCACGAACGGTGGCCTAAGCTCTGCTCCAAAGATGTGGAAGACCCGAGACCGGTTGGCCGAGAAACTCAGGAGCGGTTCTCGGGCCAAGAGGTGTCTATGTTACCAGCACTGAGAAAATGTTGAACTCAGATTTATATTGATTATTTTGGATTTAAATAAATATTAATAATGGTTAATGATTAATTTTGAATACTTAAAGGGTTTGCCTACTTAAAAATTAACCAAATAATTGTTTTCAAAATTCCCTCAAATTGAATAATATTCAACTTTTTAAGTGGTTTGTAATAATATCCATACTTTTATATTTAAATATAAATTTAAAATTTAAAAGTAATATATAATTTTACAAAATGAAATTTTTGAAATATTTTAAATTAAAAAAAAAACTTCTTGCCTCCATTTTGTTTTCTAAAATATTTTTGAGATTCTAATACAAATGTTTTAATGAATTTCGTTATCGCTTCCTTTTCGATTAGTTTTTGCAAGTGATTATCGATCAACGCGATGTGTAATCGGAGACGCTGCAGTGCGGACAGGCTGAACCGAAAATTGGCGTAAATAACTGAAAATCAATTCGGCGTGAAAAGCAACAATGTTGTTGCCAGGCCCATGTTGTTGTTGTGTTTTCCCCACTTCTTTTGCTGCTGCTTTTGTTGCTGTTGTTTTCTTCTCTTTGGTTTTGCTTTTAAGCTCATTCGAAAGTTATTGGTGTTGTTGTTGTTGGTGTTGGTGGAGCTGCATCCCGCTCAGCTGGCGTCGACGGCGCTGCTCCCGCCGCCTGCTCCAAGCCGTGCGAGCCGCTTTGGCGATCAGTTGCCGTTGAGCGAGCGAAGAGCGTACAACTACAACTCGCTTTGCTTTGCATTCCGTTCCATTCCGTTCCGTTTAGCTTTGATTTACTGTTATTTTGTATGCTTATCTGCTATTTATCTGCTTCTCCGGCCAGAAGACAATCGGGTTGCAAAAAAAGACGTTAATAGTTAATCGGTGGCGATCGTTAATCGGTATCGATACTCTCTCCGCGTTGTTGTGTTTGTGTGTGTTGTTGTTTTTTTTTTTCTCGATTTTTGTTTACAACACCAATAAGAGTTGCTCTCCCTCTCTCTCTCACGAGCTGTTTAAAATAGTTAATTGTGTTTTTGTGTGTTCGTGTGGCTTAGTTTTTGTTTTAATTTAGTTGTTAATGCTAATGCTTAATGCGTGGGCTTTTGGCCAAGAGGCAGATGGTGCAACCGATTAGAGTATTGCCAAATTTGTGAAAACAAAATAACTAAAATCAACGAGGACAGCAGAAGGAGAAAGAGGAGTAAGGGGAAAGGAGAAAGGCAAGAGGAGAAGTGAAAACAGAAGGAGAAGAAGAAACCAGCTCCAATTTGCATAATTATCAAGGTGCGATATGTTCCAATAGTTATTGGTTTTTATTAAAGCTAAATTTATAAACATCTCCAGAAAAGTATTGCAATACTATTATATTTTGTATCAGTAGTATCAATATTAAATATTACTATGCATTTAAATTATTAATAAATATATTTAAGAACAATAATAATCAAAATTAATAGTATATTATGATATTATGATATTATGATATTATGATATTATGATATTATGATATTATGATATTATGATATTATGATATTATGATATTATGATATTATGATATTATGATATTATGATATTATGATATTATGATATTATGATATTATGATATTATGATATTATGATATTATGATATTATGATATTATGATATTATGATATTATGATATTATGATATTATGATATTATGATATTATGATATTATGATATTATGATATTATGATATTATGATATTATGATATTATGATATTATGATATTATGATATTATGATATTATGATATTATGATATTATGATATTATGATATTATGATATTATGATATATAAGAATATTAACCCATACCGGAACAACTTTTTTGAACCGGCCTCCGATTCAGATTCTGAGCCTGAGAGACCAACTTAACTTAAACCGGTAGTTGGCAATTAACCAAGCCAAAAAGGTAATGCCATTGAAGATGTGTGGTGGTCGTTACACGGACACTTACAAGGCATCAGAGATAACCATTTCATGATTATATTACTTTCTAATATTAATAGCACAATAAATATGTTGTATTAAATAAAGATTATTTTTTTATTATTATTATTATAATAACCTCTGGAAGATATTTTAAAATAAGATGATTTACATATAAGGAAATTAATTAGAGCTTTTTTATTAATTAATGAACTTAATATTATTATTTTCTTTCAAATTAAATCACTTAAAGGGTTCTAATATTTTATTTTTATAAATATAAACTTTATACAAAATATTTGTAAGTTTAAAAGTCAATAAGATATTTTCAATATTAACATTTTTTTATTAAATTTCTTAGATTCGCATAGACCAAAGGGACCCTAGATTATCATTTTATTTCATTTAATTTTATTATATATAATTTTTTAATTATGGTCAACACTGCAAGGCATACACACTGAGAGACGACCACGAGAGAGAGAAAGATGGATGGCAAGGTAGTTGGGTGTGCACACTCTCCCGGAGGCGAAAGAAACCGCAGCCCAGCTGCTTGGGCTTGGGAGCCCCGGGGGCGAACCAGCGATGGCCAGAGGTGGCCGAGAGGTACAGGGGCAGACCTGTTCTGAGCCAGGTTTAATCAATAGCCAAAGTGCGGCTACTGTGGCTGCGCGCGGATCGCTCCTGCCGCGGATCTCTCGGATTCTAGGCGTGTCTGCGGCAGGTCCATGAACCTAAAAAGCCACACACTCTCGCGGACACCGCAGGTACTACAGATACAGGTACACATCGGAGGGAGGAAGGGAGGCAGGGAGACACAAGCACATTTAATTCGTCCATGCCACATAACATTCAGAGAAGTTTTTGGTGGAAAGCGACCACAAAAAGTGTTTGGAATTTGAATTTAAATGCGGTATCTCTCTCGGCACTTCTTTGTCTCGTCGGTGGCTACGTCTTGGGCTATATACTACATTGTACCTGTATCTGTATCTTGTCTGTGTGTGTGTGTGTGGGTACTTGGCTGTGGTACTTGGCCGAAAACTCGTTTCGGAGTCAGTCTAGGTGCCCCCACATGCTAAACCAATCCAATCCCCAGCCCAAACAACTCTAATCAGCAAATGCCAATCAGCAAAAGCAGCTGGGCGTTGGGAGGCTTCAGGGGGTAAACTTTTCTGGGCTTATTTTGTGGAGTTTTGAGTTGTTTTTTTTTTTTTTTGTTTCTAAGGGGGGAGGTAACCTGGTCCAGAGCCAGAGCAATTCACGCAACGGAAACGATAAACCGAGAGCCAGGCTCACAGCCCACAGAGACTACCAAACTCCAACTCCAAGCTCAGCTTAGACCAAGTCTCTTGCCTTAGCTTGCTGGTCCGAATTTGGCTTTAACTTTTAACCTTAGAGTCAGACTTCGAGATCTCAAAAAAAAAACCATCATTAACTGTCGTTTACACTTTACACAAAGTTTATTATTATACCTTTTTATACCCTTGCAGGGTATTATAATTTCAGTCAGAAGTTTGCAACGCAGTGAAGAAGACCTTTCCGACCCTATAAAGTATATATATTCTTGATCAGCATCAACAGCGGAGTCGATCTAGCCATGTCTGTCTGTCTGTCTGTCCACCTGTCCGTTTCTACGCAAACTAGTCCCTCAGTTTTAAAGCTATCTGAATTAAACTTTGCATATAGTCTTCTATATACTCTCACTGCTATATATGTCGGAACGGGCCGGATCGGACGACTATATCATATAGCTGCCATACAAATGTTCGATAAATTTGTAGAAAAAAATTATAACTTTGCTGTTTTTCAACATTTTTGCATCATTTTTGAGATATAGCTATTTTATATTATTCCAGAATTTTGGTAAAAATTTTATGAAAATCGGACAACTATATCATATAGCTGCCATAGGAGCGATCGGTAGATGTAGAGAAAATGTAAAGCTGGAAATGTAAAACTGTAACTGTCAAACTGTAAACATAATAAGTATAGGTAAAATGTAATGAAACTCTGTTTTGTGTGTGTTTTCAGCATTATAATTTTTAATATAAATATCAAAACCAATCTGCAAGGGTATACAAACTTCGGTGTGCCGAAGTTAGCTTCCTTTCTTGTTAAGGGTTAAAATAAAAATATTTATATTTTGTTTTCTTGAGTTTAACTAATGAATATAAATAAATAAATTAATACAACTACATAGAAGTTAAACTTAAGTTCTAAAGAAACTAAAAATATGTAAATTAAATTTTTAATTTATATAATTAATTATTATATATATATATTTTAATTAAAATTAAAATCCCAGAGAAACGAAAAATAATACTATATAATAAAAATTATTACCAGATTTTTACTTATATTACTATTATACAATTTTAAGGGTTAAATACATATTCATATATTCTTTTCTTAAGTTTAAATATTTATTCAAATAATTTAATTAATATCAATCTTTAAAATTTTAACTTAAACCCAAAAGAAATTAAAAATATTACTATATATAGTAAAAAATGATAACAACGCTTTTATTTTAATTTTCAAAATTGTTTGTTAGCAGCTAATAATTAACATTTCAATTTTACATTTTTAAATTTTATTATTTTTAACTTGTTTGTTGTGTGAAGCTTCAAAAAAGAACAGAGTATAAAGCAAACAAGGGGCCTCTATGGCATACCGCTTTCATTCCACTATAATTCTCAAGTAGTTTAAACCAAAAGATACATAGCTTATTTTTTGTTATTTTAAAATCTCTCCCTTATACTCTTTTTCACCTTCATAAGAGCAAAGAAGAGCAAGCTATAAACCAAAAATAAATCTGTCTCACTTTATGGTTCCAGCTTCTTATCACTTAACGATCATCATATATGTATGTACGTATATGTATTCAAGACCCACATAGAGATGACCTCTGATATGCGGATGCTATCTGGTGGATCTTGTGGATCTGTCGGTAAGGGAGATATACAAAATATGGTCTCTTGTTGCCGTGTAGTCATCATTATCATATGCAGGCGCGTTGGCGTTGGCCGCACACTAACTGAATTACAATAATAATAATCGATCGAGAGCTCCAAGATCCCAGCTACCAGCTACCAGCCACCAGCTCCATTCCGCTCCGCTTCGCCCGGCTATGCTTATGTTCAGTTCAGTTTGAGTTCGGTTCAGTATAGTTCGACTTGGCTCGGAGAGGTTGAGCAACTCCCAAGGCAAACTGGTCTTCCACCGATACCAAGCTATCCCCTCCGTCACAGTCGCCTTAAAAATTTGCTCATTTCTCTTTTTTATTTATTTTTTTTATTATTTTGTTTTTTGCCATGGCAATTTTGTTTTGTTTTTCTCTTTATTTTTTGTTGTTGTATTTGTATTTGTATTTTCTACTGGCTGTTGGCTGCTGGCCACTTGGCATGCCAGGCGAAATGTCCATTTGAATATGCTGGCCGTGTGCAAACGTAAAAGGTTCCAGTTCGAGTACTCAGTACTTGGGCACCTGGGAAACCCTCTTTTTTGCGGCTTTTTGGGATTCGGCCAGGTGAAGGCAATAAAGCGAATCAAGATAAATCACAACAACATGCGGGGAAAAGTTGTCAACGCACAGGCGTTATACCCTGGGAGTGGGTTTTCGCTTCGACCATTACACTGCACAGAAAGTGAGGTCATTAATCGAATCATTATTTGCTTTTATTAAATTATAATGTTTATTTTGTTCAATTACCTTGAGTAATAGTTGATAAGTTATTAAGATTATTTCTTACAATTTGTTTGGGTTAAAAGGGAGCATTAAGAAGGTGTCTTTGGAAAAGGTTTCCTAAACTTTTTAAAAGTTAAGGTTAAACTTACTAGTTATTTTTGCATTATTTTTAAGATAAGAAAAGAGTTGTTATTATTAATATTTAAATTAATATTCACCTAAATTAAAGCATGACTCTTGTGGGTTTTGTGTGTTAAAAACTAATTGAATTATAACGAAATAAGTTTAAATTAGGGTTATTATCCATGAGAAAAATACTATTCAATTAAATGTAATATATAAAATGATTATTATTTATTATTTTAATTATTTATTAATTATTTTAAGTAAATAAAGTTTCTTGAAAAGTTTTTTTTTATTAAATCTTATGTTTTTATACAGAGTTTAGCATAGAGCTTATAATCTAGAAATATTTAGAGTAGGTATATACATATTTTTCTTAGTTTAAATAAGTTATTCCAAGAAAAAGTAGAAAACAAAATGCTTTATTTAACACTAAGTGACTAGATTAATTATAACTTATAATACTAACTTGAAAATTTCTTAATATATTCTTAAAAAATATGTTTTGTGCCTAAAAAGATCGATAAAGATATAAAATTATACGTTTTATGTTCGATAGCATTCTTTAGAAAATATTAAAACAAAAAAAAGATAAAGATCTATATAAATAATATTTATATATTTGAATATTCACCCCAAGGTGATTACGGTACTCTTGGTCAATGACAAATAACTTGGGATAGAGGTAAAGCGTTAAGAGCATAAGAGCCAAGAGACCAAAGAGGGATAAAAGTGATTTGTCCCCGCCTCAAAGGTTCGAACTCTGCGTCATCCATCGATTGATATTAATCACCGATCAAAGTTCCTCCTCGGTTTACTTCTTCTCCTCTCCTTCTTTTTATGGTTCCATCATCAAAAACTATATGTAACTTGAATAACTTTAACTCATCTGCATATATGCTTGGAAATTTCGTGTTCAATGGGTTTTTTGAATACCAAAATGAAAAAGAAGAAGGAAAGATTAGTGGGAGATGTGGGGAATGCGTTGGCATATTGGGTATTTGTATTGGTAAAAAAAAAAAAAAGATCATATGGCCAAGAGGCTGACTGACCATCAAGTTTCAGGCCGAAAGAGCGGAATGAGAAAAAAAAAACAAAACCAACTGGCTGAGCAACAACAAAACACTTTCTACGCGCGTTACCGTTAACGCAAGGTCGTCGACAAAAAAATTAAAAACAAAAAAAATCAACAAAAAAAGAAAACAAAAAGCTAAAAATAAAAAATAAAAAAACAAATAAAACGAATAACAACAACAGGTTCAGAGGCGTATCTTTGAATGACGAAGAGATATGGCCAACTCGTCATCTTCTTCATCCGCTGACCAGCGCGTCTTCGTCTTCGTCTTCGTTGTCGTCGTCACCCAGGCGTGCCATCTGCTCGTCATCCAAGAAATCCAAGATGCGATACCCCCAGCAATTCGACCTTGAGCTGTCCATTCCATTCCACAGCCAACAGCCAGCGATCCCTTCTGCCATCCTCCTTTTACACGGCAAGAAAATGGAGTAAAGATTTCTACACGAGAAAATGGAATACATAACAAAAAAAAAGATAAAGTTAAACTATTATGGAAGATAAACATGAAATTCCAAATAAAATTGGGAAATTTTTGATCAGAATTTTTAACTCTATAAATGTATGCCAGCCGAGTAGATCTAGCCATGACTATCAGTCATTTTTTACTTAAATTTATATCAGATTTAGATAAAATATTTTCAATATATGTTTATTTCCTTATTTATTTTGTAATTATTAAAAGTAAATAGGAAAACATCAAGAAAATGAAATAATTAATAATGCAAATATTTGAAAAATTTATACTTTTTTTCGCGGTGTATTCTTGAAATGCATTCTTGACTTTTACCGTTAACTCAATGACGTTGCCCCATCCAAAAAGTAAATGGATTCGTTTTGTGGTTGTTTTTTGCTGTCTTGCTCTGAATACCTGAGAGGTGGCAAGAGGAGGAAAAGGGAGCCGGAGCCGGAGCCGGAGCTGGGAGCTGGGAGCCCACCACCATGTGCAGTGACTGCATCGGTGGAAAAGTGATGCAACCTTCAAGAGGGCCTGGAGTGGAAATTTGAATTCAGAGTGGATTGTCATTTGATGAACAGGAAATAAAATATATCAAATAAATATTAGATATATTGTATTTGATCTCTTGTTTTGTTGTTTTTATTTCCTTACTTATAAATATTTGTAGTGCTTTGGTTTTGAGCTCATGTCATGGCCATTTGCTTTGCAATTTAAAAGGCCATCAATTATGTGCTCACATCTGGAAGTCACGAATATTGAAGTTTAATTGCTAATTGAATCGAGCAAACAAGCTTCAAATATTTGTATTATTTGCAAAAAAGAAAAAAATAATAAAACAAAGTAATAACAAAGAGAAGTGGCAGAAATGCCAAGGAAAATATGGTTTAAATTTTATTTTCTGTATTTTTGCATTTCCTGTATAGTTATGAAACTTGCACAAAGTAAACATTAAGAAATTAAACAATAAACAATAAAAATTACCTTTATAAATATTTTTCGGACCTAATTTAAATAAAATTTCATTAAAATCAATTATTTTCTTGTCAAGAAATTAACATTAAATACATTTAAACTATTTTATCTTTCAGACTTACGTAAACGCCGTGCGCGACGGTGTCGAGGACCTCGAAGCCGTACTGTGTTCACCGGAGAGCCAGCGGCAACTGGCACCTCTCGGTCCCCAGGTGGTGGCCAGCCGAAGCAAGTCCCGGAAGACCATCGACTCGGAGGACACACGTAAGCGCTGCCTGGCCCAGGAAGACGGTACCCTGGTCACCGAGAGTCGGCGAACCACTGAGCACGAACTAATCGTCGACGACGAGCTGCCACCAGACGACGCCGATCCCAACGCCACCAATCCTTCCCAGCGGAATGAACGCGGCTTGCAACAGTTGGTGGGCGCCACAAGGGAGCAGGTGACCACCACGGCGGCCAATCAGCGATTTTTCCGGCAGCGCGACGAGCAGCATGTGGATGTGCTAGCCAACGGAAGGCTCCACTCCACCGAGATGCGCTACGCCGCCGAGACGACGCAAATGGACAAGGACGGGCCCGCGGAGCTGGAGCGACCGGGCGACTGGGATAGCCTCTCCGATCGGATGCGCAAACTGCGCCGATCCCAGCAGCAGCAGCAGAAGGGTAAGTGTTCACGAAGAAGCCAGCAAAGCTTGCTTAAATATCTAAAAGATAGTCGTGCCCAAAGGTTCGTGCATACGAGATTTTGAAAAAAAGTTGGACCTAAAGAGCCTTCCTCTGCGATTCTCATACCCTCTACTTAAGCAAAGCCCTCGGCTATTCTCATTTCCAATTTGTATGAGAGGTCTCTCTTTGGGATTCTCATTCTCCAGAGTTAAAGTGCCCTCCTCTGGGATTCTCATGGCTGCTACCTAAGCTAGTGTCTTCTCAATGATTTTCATTCTCAATTCACATAAGAGGTCTCTTTGAGATTTTCATTCTCCAGAGTTTAAGGGCCTTCCTCTGCGCTTCTCATGGGGGCTACTTAAGCAAGTGTCTTGTCAGTAATTCTCTATTCATAAGAGAGGTCTCTCTTTAGGATTCTCATTCTCTGGAGTTGAAGTGCCTTCCTCTGTGCTTCTCATGGATGCTACTTAAGCAAGCCCTCCTCTGCGATTCTCATGGCTGCTACCTAGCTAGCTTAGGTCTTCTCAATGATTTTCATTCTCAATTCATAAAAGAGGTCTCTCTTTGAGATTCTCATTCTCTGGAGTTGGAAAGCCCTTCTCTGCGCTTCTGATACCCTCCACTCAAGCAAGACCTTTCTCTGATATTATTATTTTTTATATCTTAATGCTTGATACCAATATAGGGGTATAGGGTATAACCTTTGCAGGGGTTTTATAATTTTAGTCTGGATATTAGAAATCGATTTATTAGACAAGCATATAGCGCCACATTAAAATATCTATTTATAAATTTTGCTTGCCGACAACTATCGAAAATTCTAAAAATAGATGTTTGTGTTAATTTCAGTAGTAGTTTCTGTGTGGTCTATGTGCCTATGTTAAAATTAGATCACTTTTTATAAGAAGATCTTTTTTCGACAGTGTGTTAATCGATGACATCAGGCAATCGCTGATTCAGCGGCAAACACGTTTTGATTTCAATAAAATATTGCATAACTGGAATTAATAACATAAATTTTGGGCTAACAATCTGATATCGCTGTTGGGAATTTATTTTAGCCGAAGTTCGTAGTCATTCTCTGGCAATGACAATGAAAGCCTGGCAAACCCTTATAAATCTTGAGTACATTTTTGCACCTTTAGGCGAAAGTTAATGTTTTAGGTTTTCGAAAAACCTCCTAATTAATTATTAAATTATTATTTGTTCTCATTTAGAAGTGGCCCTGCTGGCGGATCGCAAAGATGCCCTTACCAAGCGGCCTCTGGACTTCGATCGCGAAGAGGAGACACGCAAGGGCGAGACCATGAAGTGGCTGGAGTCGCACTTTGGCAGCGAGTCCACCGCCTCCAACGATTCCCGTGACGACGAGGCCGAGGCGGAGGTGGAGCCCACCAAGAAGAGCTACTTCAATGTGACCATCAAGTCGCAGAGCCAGCCGCAAGCTGCCCACATCCATGCCCAGTCCCACCTGGCGGCCAGCACTCAGCATAGCCAGCATACCCAGCACTTGCATGCCCATCATCCCCAGACGCTGCCCAGGAGCGCAGAGCGGGAAAGGGAAAGGGAGCGAGACCGTCATCCGCCGGCGATGGTGACCGCATCCGCAACGCTGGAGCGAAAGCCAGCGACGGCCAATGCCACAGCTATCGGTTGTGGTGGTCGCTCCAAGTACTTCCAGGGGATCTCCAATTGGTCGGAGCGCAAGGATCCCACAGGTCCGCCCGTCAACCACTTCTCCTCGCAGGCTTTCCGCGAGGATCTGCAGGAAACCATACGGCGCAATGGGCTCAAGAAGAAGGTGAGTGGCCCCGGGTCCAGTCACAGCTCTGTTCTGCCATCGCCAGGCCATCAGGACATTAGCCGGCAGCAGCAGCAACAGTCCAAGGACAGCTATGTCAGTCGCGAGGACATACTGCAGCAGAAGCGCCAGAGCCTGTCCTCACAGTTCCTGGCCCGCTCCATGCGTGGCTCTCGCGATGCCCTCGACGATCTAGAGGCGATTCCAGGACCAGGACCCGGACCCGGACCAGGTTCATCCATGATATCCGGCCGTGCCGAGGAGCCGTCGCACAAGAGAGTTGCCTACGGCCATCGCAGCGGAAGTAACACCACCAACACCAGCACCAGTGGTCACCACATTAACGGTCATGGACATGCGGTAAACGGACATGGACCTGTCCTGGTCAATGGACGCGGCAAGAGCTATGAGCCAGCACCTCCACCGCCACTGCCATCGGCGGTGGCTCCGCCCATGGAAAGCAGCAGCAGCAGCCTGGGTCTTAATTCGCGACCCACCGTGCCGCAGCGACGACGTGCCATCGAGAAAAAGCTGGGCGAGCACAGCCACACATCTCATGTCCATAGCCACAGCCACAGCCAGGTCAAGTCGCTGGCTCCATTGCCGGGTCAGTTGAATCAACTGGAGCCGCCGCCGGACTATTCGCCGCCTCCAAGGAGTCGCAGTCGCTCATCCTCGCCACAGGTGGACTACTTGATGACCAGGGAGCGAGAGGTTCCAGCTAGCACCATGACCCTTAGCCGGAAGCAGCAGCAGCGGACAAGATTTGCGCCCACATCCAGTTACCCGCCGGCAGCAGGAGCATCAGCCGCCGGCGGTGGTAATCTACGAATGCCAACGGGTGTGACCTCTGCCTCCACCTCGAATCTTTCGGCCATGAGTGGCGGCCCAGGGGGAGGCGTTAGCACCTCCAAATCAAGTCGCATGGGCCAGGTGATTGGCAACTCGCTAAGGAAGTTGGTCAGCAAGATACGATCGGCCAGTGCTGAGCGCAAATTCCGGATGAAATCTGCGGCCAGCAAGTCGCGGGAACAGTCGCCCAGTCCAGGTCATGATCCAAGGGGAGGCATCGGTGGTCCACCGCCGGTGACTACCTATCAGCAATACAATGTGATTGATGGTCACATAGGTCATGGCCACAGTCATGACTCCGAGGACTCCAACAGCGACAATCAAAGGCGCAGGGAGCGGGAGAGGGAAAGGGAAAGGGAGAGGGAACGGGATCGAGAGCGCGAACGGGATCCTCTGAAGCAGGAGACCCAAACCCGTCAAAACTTTAAACGCGCCGAGTCGGCAGATCCCCAGCTGCAGCACCTGGAGCAAGCCATCAGTCCCAGGCAGCGTTACTATCTGGGCGAGGATCCCTATTCCAGCACGCTCTACGGCAAGGAGAATCTCTATGAGCGTCGTCCACGTCAGCGGTAAGTGAACTCCCCAACTCTCCCTAATTTTATTTAATTTATTTTACATTTGCTTCCTAGAAATGTCCCGGAGCGTCCAGAGGAGCGAATGGAACGTCTGGAGCGGCTGGAGCGTGAGGATGACTACTACGAATCGAGGGCACCGCCGCCGCCGGTGACAGCTGCTCACACCCTGGGACGCTACCAGAAGCATGGCCAGCGTTTTAGCGGCTCCACGCCCAATCTCCACCAGCAGCAGCAGGATTACCGCTCGGCCCAAACGCTGCCCAGAAAGCTGCACGAGCAGCGAACCCAGAGATTTGGGAATGCGCCACCGCCACAGGGCAGGGCCAGCAGTTATCTGGGACAACAGCAGCAGCAGCAGTCCTCCAGGGGCATTCCCCAGAACCAGAACCCCAACCAGATACCTATCCAATCGCAGTCGCAGCCACTTGGACCGGCCAAACCGGCTCGCACCTACGCCAAGGTCCTGAATCGCAGCAAGAGCTTCAATGTCCATGGCATGAACGGCAGCAACGATCCTAGTCCCATCTACATTGAGAAGCTCACCCGGAATAACTACCACCAGGCTGCTAGGCAGGAGCCAGGCTTTGGCTATGGCCTGGGCCAGGGGCCCAACTCCAACTACAAATCCAATCCGCATCTCTTCTCCGGCAAGGACAACTCCCTGAAGAGTGGCCTCAAGAGTCCCTCGATCGTTAATCTGATCAGTCGCAGCCAAAAGGATCTGACCAAGATAGCGGGCAACGAGGAGGACGAGCTGAGTTACCAGGGACAGGAGCAAGACAAGAAGCAGCTGTATCTGCGCGGTCTGCACCAGCAGGCACCGGATCTTTATCGCGTGATTCACGGCGACGAGGACTATGTTACGCCGCCGCAGCAGCAGCAGCAGCAACGCAGCAACGGCAAACATCCGCTGCAGGCCAAGTACTCGCTCGACTCCCGATCGCCGCCATCCGTGGAGCTCAACAAGGACACGGCCAGCATTGTGCGGCGCAGCAGCGAGGTGGATCACCATCAGCAGCACCAGCAGCTCCACCATGTTCAGAGCCACCAAACGCAGAACCTGCGCCGCGGCTCTGGAGCCACCATCATTGAGCTGCGTACCGCCGGCGGCGGTGGCATGGGCCATCGCAAGTAATTCCTAGACAGTGATCCCAGCCAGAGAAACTCCTCCACAGTCGAACTTCCTTCTGGGTCTTTTTTTATAAATTCTGTTTCCTAAATATTGTTTGTTTTTTCAAAAAATCCTTTCAAATGTTACTTCAAATCAAAAATCCTTTCAAACTTTTAACTGAAAAACCTTTTAAACGTTTACTTCGAATTAAGACTCCCTGTCAAATTGTGCTAAGAACCAATAATCGCTTCAAAATGTTAATTTAAACTTGATTAATCCATAAACCAGGGAAGTTCGACTGAATATTTATATCCCCCCGCTAGGACCCTTAATCATCCATAACTATTTGCTAACAAAGGCTCGAACCTTGGGCTTTAGTTTCATTTGTCAAGCAGCAAATAAAAGTAAAAGGCCAAAATTGAATGTTAAATGAAAGACAAGAAATGCCCTAAAAGCAAGACATAATTATATAAATATATTAAAAGTAGAATGGGATATACATATGTATAGTGTCCTGTCCTGCCGCCACGCCTCTTCCAATCGTAATAATTTGATAATATTATATAATGATGCCTACGTCTAATTACACATCCATCTACTATATCATTTTTGTTTTTTTTTTTTACTACTAATATTAACGCTTGTTGTATAGATACCGTTTTAATGCATAAAACTAACTAATATAACTAATATTAATGCGATAATTATTGTACAATTTCTGATTAATAAACAAATTGCAATTAAAATTAAAAAATAAAGTGCCAAAATAAATAAAAAAATATATACATGTGTGTGTATGTGTGTGAGTCGGTGTTTTTGATATATTTTTATATGTGGAATTAAAATTTACATTAAATTTTATATTAAAAATATTTAAAAAAGTATAAAAAACAAAGAAACTATGTGTGCCTACATTATGATTATTCCACATAATAATCGTTTTTTAATAGATTTACTTAATATTTCTCTAGCTCAAGTTAGGAATATTTAATGTAGTAAAAAAAAGAAAGAAACTGTGTGTGACTATATTTTATTATGTGGAATAATCGATTTTTAATCGATTAACTTTGATATTTCTTCAGCTAAAGTCAGGAATTGAAACTTAACTCTTTCTTTTATTATTATGTTTTTCTTATTTTTTGCTGTACATTCATAAATTAAATATTGGCTTCGAATATTAAACCGTTCAGACATAAATTTTTTCTATATACACAAAGGTATTTTCCGGGCTTATGTAAACCTGTTGCAGCTCATTTTTTGCTCGCTTTCACAGCCACTTTAGTTTTATGACATCTTTTATTATTTGACATGAAATTGGTTCGAACTTGCTAAAACCTAAAAATATAAACAAAATAAGTTTAAGAATTTAATTAATTTTGTTTTTTTTTTTTTTTAGGATAAAATAAAAAGAATAGTATTTGCATACCTTTGAATTGTATATCTTTATGCATCTTATGCTTTATATTGTCTTTGCATCAATGATCATTGCTAAGCTAGAACCCTTTGAGAATTCTAAGCGTCTATGCAGGGGCAAGAGTAAACCTCGAAAATCGGCAATAGTTCATTTTGTAGTTTTTTTAACCAGTTGTTTGGCATACAATCAGTCGGAGACCAAGGTTAAATGTTAGTTACGTATGGTGGCATATACTTTTGGGGGCGTGTCTGTAGAAAATATTATTTTTATATATCTTTTGAAATATTTGTATAGTGTTCCCTTAACATATAATTTATATAGACTTTAGACCTCTCTACCATGAGGTAATTCTCAGTCGAGAAGTCCAAAGAGCTCCGCTTATCACCATAAAACTATAGCTGGGATCTTGGAGAGCGTCACGGATCACCTGTGACTGAGGTTATATGGGTCGTCTAGACGCTGCCTCAGCCTCAGCCATTTTGGCCAGTTGTGCGACGTCTGTCGTGGAGTTGTGAGGTGATCTGCCCAAACCAAGCCAATCCAATCCAGTCCCAAAACCATGCTCATCGCTGTGCTTCTCCTAGTCCAAGTACTGGCCGTTTTGGGCGATGGCCAGACATGTGCCGCATCCAAGTCCCTGCTGATGGACCTACTGGAAGTAGTTCCTCCCAGGGGTAACCACACAGCAATGTCCCAGTGCGAGAAGCAGCTCGAGCAGCTGAGAGATGCCGTGCAGAAAGACCGTATTTGGGCACTAAGAGGTGAGTGGAATATCTTTGTTGATTTTACCAGGAAATCTTCAAAAATCGTAGCCTTTTTTTTTTTTTTTGTAATCTTCAAACCCCTTTGCAACCGAGTTATCTTTTGACATTTAAAAAGTAAAGCGTACATTGTTATTTACTTTATCAGATAATGATTACAATAAGTGTGTTTTTTTATCGATCAAATTGATAAGATTATTGCCATGATATCATAAGTGCATTTCGTCATATTCCGACATGATTCTTGCCCCCACCTTAAGTTTAATAAAAAGAAAGCTAACCTATTTCCCAAAAAACCAGCCCTAGATGCCTCCGGCGAGGGCTTCAACGATTTCATCATTGGCCAGAGCCAGTGGCTGGGCAGCCAGTTCGCCTGTCGCTCCACCAACCAGCTGATCCACCAGAAGCTGATCAGAGAAGATCCGCGTCCAATCATGGATCTATCGCCATTCCCACTCGACTATATGGTGGCCTACATTCAGGCCTATTCGCCGTATCGCGTGATTCCACCACCCATAAGGCCGGAACCGATGCTGCACATCGGACTCTGTGTGCCCCAGACCTGTGGCATAGCTGAGGTGGAGTCACTGATCCGCCGGGCACTGGTCAAGGGCACATCCAGCTTCCAGCGCTGGGAGATGCAACCCCAGCTGGCATACACCAAGCGGCCAAAGCTGAGTCCGGACTTTTATGAGAGCCGAGCAGTGCGAATTCTGGCGGCAGTGGTGAGCATTACCCTGCTGCTGGGAGTGCTGGCCACCAGTGGCCTGCACAGATACTCCCGTTACATGGCCTGCTTCGACCTGGCCAGCAACTGGGAGAGGGCTTGGCAGCCGGTGGATCCCCGTCAGGAGAATAGAGCCATCAATGGGATAAGGGTAATCACAGCATTTGCCTTGATCGGGGTCCATGTAATTTGGTACAAGTATTTCTCCGTGGACCCATCGCTGGAGATGCTCGAGAAGATCGGAACGATGAGCGTGAACCACAACTACTGGCCCAATACAGTGGAGCTCTTCTTTGTGATCAGGTGAGAAGGAAAGATAACCTATTAGTTGGGTTTTATTTTGGTAATTTCTAGTGGCTACTTGACGGTGACCAAATTTCTGCGGGATGAGCAGCTGCAGCGGGACATCGCCGGCGATGGTCTGTGGGGCAATGGACGACGATTCCTACGTCTGGTGATGCATCGCTTCTGGAGACTGGCCCCGATGCAGTTCGTCGTAATGGTGACGGCCGTGGTGGCCGTGGAATACCAACGGCAGGTGTCCGTGATGGAAATATCTGAGCCAACGGATCTCAGGTGCCATCGCCATTGGCTGCGCAATGTGTTCTTTGTCCAGAACCTCTTTCCCCTCAAGGAGTTGTGCGGCTCGTGGACCTGGTCGCTGGCCTGCGAAATGCAACTTCACATCCTGGCATTGGTGCTTCTCTTTGGCCATACACGCCATCCCAGGTCGGTCCTAGGTATCACCTGTATGCTGGCCATTGTGAGCTTGCTCTTTCCCGCGGTCATGACGCATCTGTTTGAGGTGGGCACCACCTTCGAGGACTTCTTCAACACCGGCGAATGGTCATATGTGTGTCCCTTAACCCGTCTACTGGGCTATCTAACCGGGTGTGCCTATGCCTATACGCAAGTCAAGGGCCTGGACACACCCTTCGAGATGATCGTGCCCGGCGGTTGGATCAGGGGCTTCCTCGGCGGTGGACTCTTGTGGTTAATCCAGTTGTTTATATCGGATCAGCTGGCTGTGGGTATCATCCTCATTGGTCTGCTGTCTGTGCTGCGTGTCCTGGTAGCCGCCTTTGCCAGTTACCTTATGGTGTGCTCGGAGAAGGAGGACACGAAGGACACGAACGATGACTTGTATGCGCCCATCCGCTGGCTTCTGACCGTGCTCCAGTCGGAGCATTTGCAGCGGATGAGCCGTTTCACCTTTGCCATTTACCTGCTGAATCCTGTGGTGATCGTGTGGTTCTATCACTCCTTCAGTGCCAGCTTTAATCCAGACACGTCCTTGTTGGTAGGTTTATTTGAAGTTTGGAAGAGTAAGAAAGAGAATGATGCCTAATGCTATTCCACAATTTCTCTTCCAAGATCCTCTTGATCATAGCCGAATCTGTTGTCACCTACATACTGGCTATTGGCGTTACGCTGCTCTTCGAGATGCCCTACAATCGATTGACCAGCCTGGTGATCAAGTCCAGCTCATTGCAGAGGCAAGGAAAGAACCAGGGGAACGAGAGGTAGAAGGATAACTAACAGAAGGAGAACGAGAAGGAGAACGAGAATAAGGAGAGCGAGAACAAGAAGTAGAAGAACGAGAATGATAACGAGAAGAAGGAGAATGATAAGTAGAAGGAGAACAAGAAGGAGAACGAGAACAAGAAGTAGAAGAACGAGAATGATAACGAGAAGAATGATAACGAGAAGGAGGATAACGAGAAGAAGGAGAACGAGAAGGAGAATGATAAGTAGAAGGAGAACAAGAAGGAAAACGAGAACAAGAAGGTGAACAAGCAGAAGGACATGCAGGATCAAACCCCCTCCTGTAGACCACCGTCTTTACTTTAAAGGAATATTTTTCGTTTATTTATCGAATACATTGAAATGCATACACGAGTTGGTTTTTCCTCAAATGTTTTTTGCTTGTTTTTTGTATTTTTTTTTTGTTTGTTTTGTTTTGTTTATCTTTATATTACTTTGTATTTTGTTTAAATAAATAAGATACATACGTTTTAATCATAATAGCAGTATTTATCGTGCAAATTTGATAAGCATAATAATTGTTTACGTTTTGCTCGTTCTCTTGCAAGTTTTTGTCGGTTTTTTTTTTGTTTTGTTTTTCTTTTTTTGTTTCTCATTACGAAATAAGTTTAAATATATGAAAAAAAATATATATATTTGCTTCTTTCCGTCCATCATCTTTCTTCTTGTATAATTTTTGTCGTTTTTAATTTCTTTTCTTTTACTTTGCTGTATTATTTTGTTGTTTTAATTAGCTGCTCTTGCTTAATGGTTGCGTTTAGCGTTTAGCGTTTAGGCTTTAGTTTACTTTTTCTTTAAAGTAAAAAACGATCGGCGCTTTGGTTCGTCCTTTTGTGAGGTGGCAGGCAGAGTCTGGGATCTGCTGGCGGCCACCGCTGCCGAATCGCTTTGGGCTTTCAGGGATGATACCCACTGGGACATCTCGTTGTCGTCATGGGCCTGCAGCAAGAACTCGGCACCATTGGCGAGCCTATAAGTGGAATTAAAAAAAAAAGTTAAGTTATGGACTACAAATAAAATGATTTTCTTTATACACTCACTTTACTCGCAGCACATGCTTCTTCTTGGTGTAATCAGTGGCAACATCGATGGCAGCTCCTTGCAGATCGTAGCTGGGCTCGCCGCGGAAGGTCAATTCGGGATTACTCTTGTAACCCTTCTGATCTTTGAAGAACGAAATGCGTCCGGCACGGGCAGCCATGTAAACCTAGAATGGGAGAGGAAAGCAAACAAGGCGATGAGTAGGAGAAGCAAAAGCTGTCAACAATTAGAACAAAAACGAGAAGCAGCCGGTGAGCAAAACAGCAACTATATAGTGACTTTTGGGACTTCCAGAAGACTATGAAGCTGTCCAAGATAAAAGTGGATCACCTGGCAAAGTAAGAGGTGCTCATGGAGCAGTTCATAAGGAGTGTTACAAAGATTAGGTCAATCAGGAGGAGAGTTTACAGAGAAGAAGCTACTCAAGCTTCAAGCTGAGACAAGGCTCGAATTGGGGGAACTTTGAATTCCATCGCTATCTTTTTCAAGTACACGAAAAATGTCCAAATTTTGACAGTTTACATGTATTACCCACCCTTAAAGAGTCACAAGATGAAAAGGAAACATTCGTTGAGCATTGCAACCATTAAACCTTTAATTTCATCTTAAATTATACCCTTTCCAGATCAATAATCATGTTCAACACTCACCTTATCCCAAGATCGGTTCGAGGCCTTCTTGGTGGTCGAGTCCCATTCGTGCTTCCTGGTCACATAGCCCTCCTGGCCTTCGCCAGCGGCTGGTGTAGCGCCTCGTTCTGTGAATTATGGATTTTCGGTTAGTTTTTTCGAGTTTCCCCATTCCAATTGCAGTTTCAGTTTTTCGGAAATAAATATAAACGCAAACACAAAACGGTATGAATAACTGCATGCTGCTATGGATCTGCGGCTAGCTAAGGTTCGTTTTTGTACCTGTTTGGATCTCGACAACGCGCTCGAATTCGACGGCCGTGTCTTTGGCGGCTTCACCGGGTTTAAGTTGATGGGTTAGTTGGTGTTAATCCATGGCAGGGTGACATTGGTTTCAGTTTTTATTATTTTATTTATTTTAGTTTTTATTTTTTTAGTAAGCATGAGTGAATGACAGAGAACACGTTTAGAGATAAGTATTGAAATGGATCTTGGAGATGGTATATGGATATGGAAATATGTGCAGGAGGGTTGGTTGGACGGACCATGAGAGTTAGGGACATTATTTAATACCTGAATCATCGTGCGATGCTCCAACGTCCACGTCGTCGCGTCGCTCAGCCTCTCGTTTCGCCAATTCCGCCGCCTCTGAAGCGGCCTTGGCCTCCTGCTCCTCCTTGATGCGCTGTCGCTCGGCCTCCTCTGCCAGCTCCTGGCGCCTCTTCATTTCCTTAAGCTCAAACTATAAAAGGATATGAAAATGTGAATATAAAACATGCCCAAGGGAGGGGAGAGGGGGAGAGAAAAGGACGACACGCACTGTTGTCAAACGCTCAAGAGCACTGAAGCGCTCCTCCTGGGCGGCGGCAGACTTTTCAAAGGCCTCGTGCTTCTTAATTAGATTCTCCACCTCATCGATGGTGTGGCCCAGCTCCGAGGAGAGCAGGTAAGGCTCTTGGGCAATAAGCCAGGCCTCGGCCACGGCAGCGTCTCTGGCGAACTGGTAGACCTCCAGAACTGGACAAAAAAGGGGGGGTTAGTAAAGGATATATATATCGTGGGAGCTGCCACTCACTTAGCTGAAGATTCTCCCAGCGCTCCTCCCAGCGTCGGAGCAGGGCATTCCGGCTATTGCTTAGCTGCAGCAGGCGATCCTTGATCTCCGCGGAGGCATAATGATTCCGGGTGAGCAGCTCCTTGCCCAGCGAGATGCATGCCGCAAAGTTATCCTCGCGCGTATCGATCTCAGCCTTCAGGCTCTGATGGTTATTCATCAGCAGCTCCACGCCGGAGACATCACGCGGCTTCTCCGAGGTGTTCATCTGGCGGACAAGGTCCTCCATCCAGATCATCAGGATGCGCACCATATTAAAGAAGCGGAACAGGTCACCCGTGTCGGCCAGCTTCTGTTTGCGCGCATCGCACATCGCCTGCAGATTGTCCCAGGCATGGAGCACCTCCTGTTCCCGATTGGTGATCTCCTTGGCCTTGTCACCGGCATAGGCATCCTGCAGCTTGGCGGATTCCTCCTGGATCTGCTGCACCTGCGAGTACAGGGTGGTGAGGTCCTGCAAGAAGTTGTAATGCTTGCGTTGCAGCGTCGACACGGAGCCAGCGTCGCGTCCCAGCTCATCGGAGACGCCGTGCTGCTTCTCCAGGATGCGTCCGAGGACATCCTTGCAGTCGTGGAAGAATTTGTGCAGCTCCCGTGAAGCGGCGAGCATCTGGGTTCGGGTCTCAATCAGTTCCAACAGATCCTGCCACGACTCGTTCAGATTGTCCTTCCATTCGGCAATGGTGGCGGAGTCCGAGTGTCCGGCCTGGATGAGATTGTCGGCAATGCCGTTCACCTTGGCCACCCGCTCGCCGCCCACGGCCTCCGTGTCGCGTGCGAACTCATTGAAGCGCTCCGACAGCAGCGTCACATGATCAAAGTCCTGGCCCAGCTCCTGTGAACCGGCAACGACCTCGCGATCTGTGATCCATTGCTCCAGGTCGTCCACCTCACGGCTGAGCATGAACAGCTGCAGGGCCTCGTTGAGGCGGGCCCTCCTCTCACCGGCCAGATCCTTGAGTCCGGCATAGAGCTTATCCAGCTGCGATTGCTTGACGGCAACGGCATCTCCGGAGGAGACATCGTCGCCACTGAACTGGCGCGCCACCTCGCCCAGCTGGCGAATGGTGTTGGCATAGTCCTCCACCGATTGCTCCAGATTTTCGTGCTTCTTCATTAGATTCTGGGCACTGATCTCGTCCTTGCCACGATCCTCGACCATCATGTACAGCTCCTGTTCGCTCATCCACGACTCGGCCTCCTGGGCATCAAAGAAGTACTGCTGCACCTTCTCCGACTCCAGCAGATGCTTGCGCCTGTTCTCGATGGCATCCTTGAGCTCCTGCCACTTCTGGGTGAGATCACTGATCAACGCCTCGAATTTCTTGGCATCCTCGTGACCCTCATCGATCAGCTTCCGGCCATTGTTGCAAATGGCATTGATGCGCGGCTCATGGTTATCGATTTCGGTGGCCAGCGATTGGTTCTTCTTCTTGAGGACATGAACATTGAACAGGGAGTTGCCATAGTCGGAACTATTAGCCACTGGGAGCTTCTCATCGATCCAGAGCTTCTCATCCTCGACATCGCGACAGAACTGGAAGGCCTCCTTCTTTTTCTCGAGCGCCTTCTGTCGCTCCAACAGCGGCGCCTTGATCTTCTCGAAACGCTCCAGCACTGCGGTCTTCTTCACCACAATCGGTTCGATCTTCTCCTCCGGCACGGTCTTCTGTAGATATTCGGTCTGCTTGTCGATCTCCTCCACTTGGCGGGCCTTCACCGCCATCTGCGTTTGGATGACTTGCTGCTTCTGCATCAGAATGTTGACCGATGTCAAATCGTTGGCAGTGTCCCCGCTAACGATCTGCTTCTCCAGATCGGTGATGTACGAGTCGATGTCGTCGCAGGTCTGCTGGACGAGCACTTCGCGATTGGCATCGAAGAGCATGGCACCCTTCTCCTTGGTGTGCACCTCCAGATCGTCGAATTGCTTGGCCAGCTCCTTCAGCTTCGGCTCGATCACGTCCTTGAACTCGGGCTTCTCCTTGGACAGCTCCTGGGCGGACTTTTCGGCCTCGAAGAGGCGCTCCTTATTGGCGGCTATCTCCGCCTCGAAGGCCTGGTGGCGCGTCCACTTCGAGTGGATGGTCTTGGCGCTCCTGTACGATTCATCCTGCGACGTGGCATACTTCTCCTGCACCCACTCGGCCAGCTCCTCCAGATCCTGCAGGAACTCGTGCAGCTTCACCTGATTCTTCAGCTTCTCGTGCTGATCCAGCGCCCGCTGTCGGTTGTCGTCGCGTCGTCCAGTAATGTTCTCCGCCCGCTTGCCAATCTTATCGGCATCGAAGTGATCCTTCTCCACCAGGGTGTCGGCCACCTGGAGCAGCGTATTGATCTTGTCGTCGTTGGCCTCCATGGTGGTGAGGAAGGCCTCGTGGCGCTTCAGTTGGTTCTC